GCGCCCTCCAGTGGTGAACAACCACATTACAGAGAGGGTATTTGTTGATAGCCTGGGGTAGGATTCTGCTGTTAAACGCCTGTGCAGTGCACCACCTGTGTATTCTCATCATGAGTGGTGCTCCACAGACCTGTGTGTGCTTCCCTCTCATGCTGAGCCACCATATGGCATGGGAACAAATCACTAGCCGGAAACTACAGTAAGCCTGCAACAGCAGGAAATAATACAGTACCTTCGGAAAGTATTTACACCCCTTGACTTTTTCCACATTTTATTGTTACGGCCTGAATTTGAAATTGAGTAAATTTCGATGTTTTTGTCACTGGCCTACACACACACACACACACACACACACACACACACACACACACACACACACACACACACACACACACACACACACACACACACACACACACACACACACACACACACACACACACACACACACACACACACACACACAAAATTCCCCATAACCTCAAAGTGGAATTATGTTTGTAATTTGTTTTTGTACAAATTAATACAAATGAAAAGACTGCCCATCTTACTCTTTTCTCTTTATTGGCCAGTCTGAGATATGGCTTTTTCTTTGCAACGCTGCCTAGAAGGTCAGCATCCCGGAGTCGCCTCTTCACTGTTGACGTTGAGACTGGTGTTTGCAGGTACTATTTAATGAAGCTGCCAGTTGAGGACCTATGAGGCGCCTGTTTCTCAAACTAGACACTCTAATGCATTTGTCCTCTTGCTCAGTTGTGCACCGGGGCCTCCCACTCCTCTTTCTATTCTGGTTAGAGCCAGTTTGCACTGTTCTGTGAAGGGAGTAGTACACAGCGTTGTACGAGATCTTCAGTTTCTTGGCAATTTCTCGCATGGAATAGCCTTAATTTCTCAGAACAAGAATAGACTGACGAGTTTCAGAAGAAAGTTAGTTGTTTCTGGCCATTTTGAGCCTGTAATCGAACCCACAATTGCTGATGCTTCAGATACTCAACTAGTCTCAAGACGGCCAGTTTTATTGCTTCTTTAATCAGCACAACAGTTTTCAGCTGTGCTAACATAATTGCAAAAGGGTTTTCTAATGATCAATTAGCCTTTTAAAATGATAAACTTGGATTAGCAAACACAATGTGCCATTGGAACACAGGACTGATGGTTGCGGATAATGGGCCTCTGTACGCCCGTGTAGATATTCCATATAAAATCAGCCGTTTCCAGCTACAATAGCCATTTACAACATTAACAATGTCTATACTGTATTTCTGATCAATTTGATGTTATTTTAATGGACAAAAAAATTACTTTTCTTTCAAAAACAAGGATAGTGTATTTAGCATGTTGTTATTGCAGGTGTGGCGAAATGCTTGTTCCTACTGTAGCTCCAACAGTTCAGTAATATCTAACAATACACACAAATCTAAAATAATGGAATTAAGAAAAATAGAAATATTAGGAAAAGCAATGTCAGAGTCTGGAGTATAAATATACAGTACCAGTCAAAGGTTTGGACACACCTACTCATTCAAGGGTTTTTCTTTATTTTTTACTATTTTCTGCATTGTAGAATAATAGTGAAGACATCAAAACTATGAATTAACAAAAAATACCCACCCTTTGCCTTGATGACAGCTTTGCACATTATTGGCATTCTCTCAACCAGCTTCACTTGGAATGCTTTTCAAACAGTCTTGAAGGAGTTCCCACATATGCTGAGCACTTGTTGGCTGCTTTTTCTTCACTCTGCGGTCCAACTCATCCAAAACCATCTCAATTGGGTTGAGGTCGGGGGATTGTGGAGGCCAGGTCATCTGATGCAGCACTCAATCACTCTCCTTCTTGGTAAAATAGCCCTTACACAGCCTGGAGGTGTGTTGGGTCATTGTCCTGTTGAAAAACAAATGATAGTCCCACTAAGCCCAAACCAGATGGGATGGCATATCGCTGCAGAATGCTGTGGTAGCCATGCTGTTTAAGTGTGCCTTGAATAAATCACAGAGAATGTCACCAGCAAAGCACCCCCACACCATAACACCTCCTCCTCCATGCTTTACATCCGTTCACCCACACCGCGTCTCACAAAGACATTGCTTGTGTTTCTTGGCCCAAGCAGATCTCTTCTTCTTATTGGTGTCCTTTAGTAGTGGTTCCTTTGCAGCAATTCGACCATGAAGGCCTGATTCATACAGTCCCCTCTGAACAGTTGATGTTGAGATGTGTTTGTGACTTGAACTCTGTGAAGCATTTATCTGGGCTGCAATTTATGAGACTGGTAACTCTTATGAACTTATCCTCTGCAGCAGAGGTAACTCTGGGTCTTCCTTTCCTGTGGCGGTCCTCATGAGAGCCAGTTTCATCATAGCGCTTGATGGTTTTTGTGACTGCACTTGAAGAAACGTTCAAAGTTCTTGAAATGTTCCGTATTGACTGACCTTCATGTCTTAAAGTAATGATGGACTATCGTTTCTCTTTGCATATTTGAGCTGTTCTTGCCATAATATGGACTTTTACCAAATAGGGATATCTTCTGTATACCCCCACTACCTTGTCACAACACAACTGATTGGCTCAAACGCATTAAGGAAATAAATTCCACAAATTAACTTAAGATGGCACACCTGTTAATTCAAATGCATTCCAGGTGACTACCTTATGAAGCTGGTTGAGAGAATGCCAAGCGTGTGCAAAGCTGTCATCAAGGCAAAGGGTGGCTATTTAAAGGATCTCAAATATAAAATATATTTTGATTTGTTTAATACTTTTTTGGTTACTACATGATTCCATATGTGTTATTCATAGTTTTGATGTCTTCACTATTATTCTACAATGTAGAAAATAGTAAAAATAAAGAAAAACCCTTGAATGAGTAGGTGTGTTCAAACTTTTGACTGGTACTGTATGCATACACAGTGCATTCGGAAAGTGTTCAGACCCCTTGACTTTTTCCAAATGTTATGTTACAGCCTTTTTATAAAATTGATTAAATTATTTTTCAATCTACACACAATACCCCATAATAACAAAGCGAAAACTGGTTTAGACATTTTAGCAAATGTATTTAAAAATAAATAAATAAAATACCTTATTTACATAAGTATTCATACCCTTTGCTATGAGACTCAAAATTGAGCTCAGGTGCATCCTGTTTCCATTGATCATCCTTGAGATGTTTCTACAACTTGATTGGTGTCCACCTGTGGTAAATTCAATTGATTGGACATGATTTGGAAAGGCACACACCTGTCTATATAAGGTCCCAAAGTTGACAGTGCATGTCAGAGCAAAAACCAAGCCATGAGGTCGAAGGAATTGTCCGTAGAGCTCCGAGACAGGATTGTGTAAAGGCACAGATCTGGGGAATAGTACCAAAAAATGTCTGCAGCATTGAAGTCCTCCAAGAACACAGTGGCCTCCATCATTCTTAAATGGAAGAAGTTTTGAACCACAAAGGCACCTGCATGATCATCAAGACTCTTGGAAGAACGTTCTATGGACAGATGATTCAAAAGTATAACTTTTTGGACGACATGGTTCCAGTAATGTGTGGCGAAAACCAAACTGCATTCCACAGTAAGAACATCACACCAAAGGTCAAGCATGGTGGTGGTGGTGTGATGGTCCCAAAAATATAAATGCAATGTAAAGTGTTGGTCCCATGTTTCATGAGCTGAAATAAAAGATCACAGAAATTTTCCATACGCACAAAAAGCTGATTTTCTCTCAAATTGTATGCACAAATTTGTTTACATCCCTGTTAGTGAGCATTCCTCCTTTGCCAAGATAATCCATCTGCCTGACAGGTGTGGTATATCAAGAAGCTGATTAAACAGCATGATCATTACATACGTGCACCCTGTGCTGGGGACAATAAAAGGTCACTAAAATGTGTAGTTTTGTCACACAACAATGCCACAGATGTCCCATGTTGAGGGAGCGTGCAATTGGCATGCTGACTGCAGGAATGTTCACCAGAGTTGTTGCTAGACAATTTAAATGTAAGTTTCTCTACCATAAGCTGTTGTTTTAGAGAATTTAGCAGTAAATCCAACCGGCCTCACAACCGCAGACCACGTGTAACCATGCCAGCCCAGGACCTCCACATCCGGCTTCTTCACCTGTGGGATCGTCTGTGACCAGCCACCCGGACAGCTGATGAAACTGATGAGTATTTGTCTGTAAGAAAGCCCTTTTGTGGAGAAAAACTGGCTCCCCAATCAATTGACGGATTTCCTTCTATGAACTGTAACTCAGTACAATCGTTGAAATTGCTGCGTTTATATTTTTGTTCCGTATATATTGCGATTAGAGATCTTGCTAGGGTTTCTGAGGATGCGTATTGTGCATGTTTAGCCAATGTGAAATGAAATTACTGTCAAGTAAGCGGTGCGCTCGGCATTCTGCAAGTGACGTCTGTACTGGGTCGGTGGTATGGACGGTGCTTGAGTAAGGTGTTGTGCAGTATCTCTGGTCAGTTTGAGCGCTGGTCAGGACAGGGACAACATGACACAAACATACACATTTATGACAACATCCAAGACCACAGTCTGACTTCACAATAGTCCCTCACAGACTGAGAAATAACTTGCGCAAGACAAAGTTACTGCTCAGAACTTTTATTTAGAGGTAAACGATGGTTAAAATTACATTAAAACATAATATTTGAATGGGCAAGTCTTTGAGGGGGACCGATGCGGGGAGGGCACAGAGGCGGCCCCCCTCCGCAGAAACAGAAAACAGCAAATGGGGGGGAAAGAGACCTACAGCTACAAAATTGAAATTGAGTTTTAAAAGATGGTCAAAAGGAGTGGGATTAGCTGGGTCACTCAGTTGTGTATAAAAAAGGAGAAAAATGCAGTTTGTTAATGTGGAAACCCTCCATCTGAGACGTCCTCATTTCATCAGTGCTAAAGCGCTCTCCTTTTCCATTTCTCTATAGGAGTACAGATTATTTGTTGTAACGTCTTCCTGCAGTTTTGAAAAAGTAAACAAAAACGTCCTTCAAAAATAAAATGCAGCAACCACATTTCTTGTTCTACCATTACATAAACAGTATTTATATATATATATATATATAAATACATACACAAATATCTTACATGTACAACCAATTTGAAAAGGGAAAAGAAAGAAAAAGGTATAAGGACTTTGGGGGCGAGGGGAGTTGGAGGGTTATGTTTGGGTAGTGTGTTTATGTTTAGCTTCACACACAGAGAGCCTTTAGGATGGGGGTAGGACAGAATCCCCTAGGTGCCCCCACAGTGCCCTTCAGTTGGCCCAGTAAGGGCTGCCATAGCTGGACTTGTTGCCCTGGTTCTTCTGCTGCATGCTGCTGGACTGGTTGCGCTGACCGGGACCACCCTGCGGGGGCGGGGGGGGGGTTAGAGAGAGCACACACACACCAGTCAATAGGCAGGTCTCCATTGACCCACGTTTATTAGACTAAAGCAATGTCGCAAAAAACATTAAACTTGACATGTGTAATGGAAACGGCAGCTATAGGAGACATTTTCTAAAGATCGACATTTTAATCCGTCCGACTGGTGGATTTTTCTTTTGTGATGGAAACAGTTTTTGGAGTAAATTCTGATTGCCGAATAATTTTGAATGTGTGTGGGGCACGTGATGTCATCATGTAACTATAAAGCTCCTTTGCACATTCAATTCTAAATGCCTACTGCTTGCTAAATAAATTTTTCAAATATAAAAATAATGTTTCTTTGCAGGACAAGGATTATCTTGACTTTCAAGAATGCCCGAAATGCGTCACCTTGCTTTTCTGTTTGGCTGGATGCAAGTTTCACCATCCAATAATTTCAGATCTAGGCTACAGAAGTGCAAGTTTCACCATGGAGGCAGTCCGCAGCACAGCTCCCCATAAGTCCATGCATATGGTGTTTATTAACAGCAAGTGGAGAATACAAGTCTATGGTGCTTATTAACAACAGGTTGAAGGGGTGTTACCTGTCCGTCTTGGGCGAGGTGATGGTGCAGCATCTGGGAGTGGGGCTGCTGATGGGCAGGCAGGATGTGGAGGAAGGGGGCTGGGGCGTAACCGGGGGCACCGCCGGGGTTCAGGGGGCCTGTGCCCCCCAGGGCAGATGGCAGGCTGAAGGGAGGGGGCGTTCCCGTGTGGAAGCCCTGCTTATCAAAAGACTGGGGTGGGGTGAGGGGACAGAGGTTGGAGAGGACCATTATATTATGTCATGTCTGAGTATAATCCTTAACTGTATCCTTATTTATGTTTCAATCCTGTGGTATGGAGGTTGTGTGCTCCTCGATCAGACAGCTTTGCTATTAACCACAATTAATCCAACTAGCCGTTTAAATTCAAATCTATTTGTTATTCTCAGACATGACTTAGCGGAAACTACTACACAGCAACAACTATACACCAAGTGTGGACTGACTAACCTGTGTCTTGCTGTACATTGAAGCACCCATTTCAGGCACCCCTCCACTGCTGCCCGAGCCGGACAAACCTGGAGCTGTGAGCGAGAGGACACAAACAACATGTCAGTTTGACCCTGTGATGCGGCACGGTGCCAGTAGGCAATGTTCAACATTTCTAGTGAGGGAGTTCACCATTTCAAGAGTTAGTGGTGAGTGAGGGAGTATTTCTCAGTAGTGAGGGAAGTGTTTCAGAACAGTAGTAGTATATCACGGCGGATAACAGTGAAGGGGGGCGGGGAGGGGGGGGGTGCGTCCTGGGGCAGCCGAGTTCAATGAGTGTACCTTTCCCTGGGCCGCTGCCAGCTGATTTGGCCTGTGACTGGGCAGAGCCTCCGTACCCTCCCTTACTGTACTCCCCCGCGTGGCCCTGAGACAGGTCGTCAAAAGCTGAGAGAGGAATGGAAGAGGACCAGGAGGACCGAGTGAAGTGGAGGGGGAGAGTAAAAAAGACAGCAGAGGAGGAAGGGGGAGAAAGAACCGAGAGAGAAGCAATAAGGTAACTGGCTAGAATAGCATGTGAACAGCGACTATATCCGGCAGAGGGGGACGGGACGGGAAGGGGGGACGGCATGCTCGCTAAGCAAGATCTCTCCCTCTCAGCCACGCACACAACAGACACACGGTCTGATTTCAGTTCATCCTCTTACACATACCTGTTCCATACGTGTGCTGGCCGTAGCTGGGCTGATGCTGTTGGTGGTACTGGCTGGAGGGGTTCCCCAGGCCCATGTTGGGCTGCTTGGCCGAGGCCGGAGGCACGAAGACGGTGGGGCCGTACTGGAAGGCGCTGGGCACCCCGGGCATGCCGGCGTAGTAGGGCAGGCCGGTGTAGCCGTAGCCCGGGGGCAGAGGGGGGTTGAGGAAGGCCTGGTTCTGGGTCGGTTGGCTCTGGCTCTGAGCCTGGGGGGGCTGTGAGGGGCCCTGTGAAAGGCTGGTGGGGGGAGCCGGGGATGACGAATCCCCTCGACCAAACTTGGTCGCTTCACCTAAACAAGAGAGAGGAGAGATGGTGATCGATATGAGAACAGGCAAATGCATAGGAGGGAATGTGAGAGAGCCAAATGGGTCTATGTTCCTGTGAATTTATCTAGAATTATTTGTTTTAAGTGGGTTTCTTATGTGCAGTATTTTCAACTTTTAGTTTATTTGAAAGCTAATCAAGTACTGAATACAAAGATCTAGTTTTCTATACCGAAAACATTAAAACTAGCCTACCTCTCCAATCAACTAGCTAATTGTTTGGATTCGAATACTAGCCACGCTTCTCTTATCTCCTGGACAGAAGGCAAGACCAAAGATTAAGAAATGGCAGCAACTTTCCTCCACTACAAGTATTCCTCCGAAGTTGAATACTTTTTTTCAACAACCCTGTGCAAGGAGCTCAAGAACAGCCTTATGCAATACGGGATCTTATGGAAAACATGCAGACGGCGAGGAGGTAGGAAACTGATCAGCAAATTAAAGTCTATTGTGTGCACTGGCGATGCGAGCAGTACAACATGCACAACGGAGTTGGACAATACATTTTACATGCCAGTTCTGTAGGCTGACCCGCAGGCTATTGATGTCACCCAATCCAGTCCATACAGAGCGCAAGAGCACAATGGACCAACCAAAATGCAATGAATCCATTTCCACCAATGCCTCCACACGTTTTACGCTCCGCCTGGATACAAATACATTGAAAAGGCGTGCAGCCACGGCCGCGGTGGAGGCCTTGCTGTTTTATACAGAGACTGCTATATTTTAAACCCACTGATTGTTGCTGGTTTTCAGTCTTTTTAGTGCCTTGCTTTAAATGTAAACAACCAAAATCCGAATTAGTTTTTCCCCACAAAAGGGCTTTATTACAGACAGAAATACACCCCGCAGACGATCCCACAGGTGAAGAAGCTGGATGTGAAGGTCCTGGGCTGGCGTGGTTACATGTGGTGTGCGGTTGTGAGGCCAGTTGGATGTACTGCCAAATTCTCTGAAACGACGGAGGTGGCTTATGGTAGGGAAATAAACATTACATTCTCTGGCAACAGCTCTGTTGAACATTCCTGTAGTCAGCATGCCAATTGCATGCGCCCTCAAAACTTGAGACATCTGTGGCATTGTGTTGTGTGACAAAACTCTGCACATTTTAGAGTGGCCTTTTATCTTATAGTCCCCAGCACCTGTGTAATGATCATGCTGTTTAAATCAACTTCTTGATATGCCACACCTGTCAGGTGGATGGATTATCTTGACAATGGAGAAATGCTCACTAATAGGGATGTAAACAATTTTGTGCACAATTTGAGAGAAATACATTTTTTGTACGCAAGGACATTTCTGGGATCTTTTTATTTTATTTCAGCTCATGAAACATGGGCCCAAGACGTTACATGTTGCGTTTCTATTGATGTTCAATATATTAACCTCTATGCCCCACCCTCGCCAACATTGGAATTTTGGGAGACTAACATCCATGTTGACTCACCCAAGTGCTCTATGGTTGCTGACTTGCTGGATTGTCTAAACCTTGTGCAACATGTAAATGTTCACACCCACAACCGTGGACACACATTGGACCTCATTATCACTGGTGATGTCCCTGACTTGGATGTCATCGAGCTAGGCGTCTCTGACCGCTCCAACTCCTCTCCACCAACCAAAGAGCACCATTAAATTCCTCAACCTGAGGAAACTCAATCCATTCTTCTTTCAGGAACACATCCAGCCCACCTTTGAGTCCGACTGCAATGAGCGGGCCCTTGATGACATGGTCAACCTGTATAACAGCACTCAGTTACACCCTGAACATTTTTGCCACTGAAAAAACATGTGAAGTAACATTCCAACGCTTGCCCCCTTGGTTCACTGACAAACTGCACAGAATGAAGACTCATGGCTGTAAGCTTGAGAGACATTGGAGCTAGGATGGCCTCACTGTCCACCTACTGGCCTATAAAGACCACCAGGCAAGCTACTCTGCTGCCTTAAAAGCAGCACAATCAACCTTCTACTCTGCCACGATTGACAATAACAAAAAGGTAACCGCAGAACCCTGTTTTCTACATATAGTCACCTTTTCAACCCTGCAAACTCATTCTCTCTCGCATTTGACCAGTGACATTGCTTCTTAGATTCTTTCAAGACAAAGATTGACACCAGCATGACAATCATGGCCTCGAAGACTGCCCCTCACGTCAACAACTTCACATCCGCTGTGCAGTCAATCATCTCTAAAATGAAGGTCACCACTTGCTCCCTTGACCCTATCACTACATCCCTTCTCAAAACCTGCTCATCTAGCCTGCTTATGTTTATCACCACCCTGATCAACAAGTCCCTGCTGACTGGAGAAGTACCCTCAATATTCAAAAAACAGCTGCAGTCACCGGGACTGAAGAAACCCAACCTTGCCCAGGAGATCCTATTCAACTACAGGCCCATCTCCAACCTCCCCTTCCTATCAAACGTACTGGAGAAAGTGGTTGCAAACCAGCTTTAATCGCATCTGTCATCTAATCAGTTGTACAAGGTTTTCCAGTCTGGCTTCCGACCCTTGCACAGCACCGAAACACAGGGGTTTAAAGCAACAACAAAAATCCCATGACAAACTTACGTCTATCTCAGATCGATTGTCTGGGGCCAAGTTAACCTCCCCTTTCATGTAAGAAAGTCATAATCATCATGCTTTTAGGGAAAGAGGATAATTTTGTACAGTATTAAACAGAGTTTGACCAATTCCAGTCCCCTTGGTTAGGGGATCTGAGGTCCTCCCCCAGAATTGTTTTATGTAGGACTGAGAAGCTCCGTTCTGGCGACTTTTTAAAAGGACATTCTTCTCCAAAAATGATGATAATAAATTGATGCTGACACCATCTAAAATATAATTTCTACCTCCAGAAATGGGCACAATAACATACTTGTAAAAATGTTGTTAAAATAATTTGTACATATTGGACCATGTGCATATAGCCTATGCATGGTCTATATTATCAGATGTGCTATTAGCAATAAGCATTATCACCTGTAGCCCAACTGATGAAGCATAGTGGCTATAAAATGTACATAGGCTGAAGCATGGGGTTTGTCCATTTGCATTTACCCCATTGGACACAACATCCTGATTATTATTAATTATTAAATACATTATTCATTATTATTCACTTTAAAATATTACAATGTATGTCATTGCCCTTTTAAGAGGACATTGCCCATTTAAGAGCTCTGTTGTGCAGCTGCACCTAAAAACCATGCTTGAAACTCTGGTCGTAAAACTGCATTTGTAAAATGATGCCACATGCGCAACTGAAGGAGTAAAGAAATAAACGTGGTAGCAATGTAAAACTGGGATCCCCTCTAACAAAACGAATTTCAAAAGTGTTTTCCCGTGATTGCGTTATGAATTGTTGTGAATTGGACTGCTAGTCAGAATATGTTTACCTCCTATGGCTCTCGCAACTTGAATGCGCCTCAAGGAATATTTAGCTCGGATAGAACACGCAACAAGCCGACTAGGTAAATAGGTAAACTATTCTACTATGAGGTTGTCGGATTATGTTTTAATAACATTACATGGCAAAAATAGTAGCACTGGAAAGTTACATCCTGAGCGATAAAGTATATGTTTTGAATGACTTTACCAGCAGCTACAGTAGGCTTCACACCACTGTCTGAGGTGAGCGCTGCTATATAATATTTAATTCCCTTCATCTGAACATCGGATTGTCATCAACAATCATGCATGTCAGTTCAGTGCACATTTATTTGGGAATATATTTAGTAGAACAGACTGTCTGTATTAGGCTAAGTCACCTCCAAACCACTACTGCCCACCAGAAGTAAATCAAGCTTTAAATCTACTGTTAGTCAGAGGAGATGGGAGATTCAGTCATTGAGATAGTCCACATATTAAGATTCAGCTATGTGCTTGTAACCATCATCATCTCCATATTATGGTGCACACACAAGATTTGGTTCTGGCCTCCGAGATGAGTGCTTTACCTGAGTATGGATTGGTGGCTAGCCCATCTCTGCCAGGCATCGTTGCCGTTGTACCAGGGAATGTGACTCCGTAGTAGTCCTACAGAGAGATGGAGAAATACACCAGTTTAAACTAGAGACAGAAGGAGAGAAAACAGTAACATTACCAAATAAATCAGATTCAACACAGGAGATTCAGTCATTGAGGTAGTCCACATATTAGGATTCAGCTATGTGCTTGTAACCATCATGATCTCCATATTAAGACAGACACAATATTAAATCATTAACATTTATTTATGTCTGGGTCTACTAAAACTACATCTAAACCAGAGACCGTGCGAGAGTCCATCTGGGCAAACAGAAATGTGTGCTGCATTGCTCTTCATCGACGTAGTAAGTGATGTTCCATGTGTGAAAGGTCGCTCACCATAGGCAGACGAGACTGAAGCATCTGCAGGTCCTCATATCCATAGATCTGCTTTAGAGCAGGACAAAAGAACACAGGTCAGTTGATACAGTTCAACTGAAATAGTCAAAATATTCGACCACAACTCACTAAGCAAGAACCAATGGTATGAAAGAGGAGAGCGAGAAAGAGGGATGGCGGGCTAGAGAGAAAAAGAGGGGTAGCGTAGTTACCGGGTATGCAGGAAGCAGGCCTCCAGGGCCCATAATGTACTGATTGGCCAACAGAGGGGGCACTCCTTGGGCCAGGTTAGGGGGGGGTTTGCCTGTGGAACACAAGAAAGAGAGAGAAAGAGGAGTCAAAAACCACACTGGTCTATAATCAATGGTCAAATAAGCAGAGGGAGTAGGACAGCGTTTCCCAAACTCTGTCCTTGGGACCCCAAGGGGTGCACGTTTTGTTTTTTCTAACACCACACAGCTGATTCAAAATGTTCAAAACTTGATGATTAGTTGATTATTATAAATCAGCTGTGTAGTGCTAGGGCAAAAACCAATATGTGCACCCCTTGGGGTCCCTAGGACCGAGTCTGGGAAACCCTGGAATAGGACCATTAAGTGACCGTAACAAACCTATGTGTGACGGCAGGGTTCTCCTGGACTCACCCGAGGTGGTGGTCAGCAGAGGTTGGGCGGTGCGCCCGGCGGCTGAGAGGGCGGCGTTGCCGGTCAGACCAAGCGCTCCGGGGCCGTGCATCATGCCATTGGAGCTGCTAACAGCGGCATTGATCGAAGGGCCCGAGGAGGAGAAGGCGTGGAGACTGCTGCTCTCCTCACTGGTCATCTGTATGGTAGGGTGGAGGGAGAGAGTTAGCCTGACAGAACCTTAGCTTTATTGGTTGCCTTTTTCCTCTCCAGTGTCTCAGTGCTTATTTAAAGACCAGTCCCTCTGCGATCAACAACCAGACACACACCGTCTAGGACGTGTTTTACGTTAGCCCAAGAAGAAGAGGCTGTGCTTACCGTGAGGGAGGAGCTTGTAGAGAGGGCAGATCCTGACGAGTATGTACTGGTGACATGACTGGAGAGACAGCAGCAGAGAAACAGGTAATGTTACCAAATCATCTGATGCGTATTAACCCAATGAGTACCACCGTAACGTGAGCGCGTTTTGGACTTCTAACCCCTTTAAACCCCCTAGAATCCCCCCCAAAAGCTGTCTGTTTAAGCTAGAGATATTGTTTTTGGCACTGGATGCATCTCAATCCACCACATCCGCCAATGTCGCACTGTGGCAGAGCTAGAGCGGTGTTTGTCTGACCATGAGACATCCCGAAAATCATTCTCTCAAAATCTGTAGTGTCCGAACGGTTTGGAATACAAACTATTATGACCCCTCTTTGGAAAGATGACTCTCACGAACACGATGTGTTCTCCGTTTTGCTCTACGACCCACACAAGCATCTTGGGACTCGTCTGAAGTCGGTACAGACGACCTGCCAACTTCTGTCTGTAGCGTCCGAACAGTTTGGGCTACACACTAATATGACCCTCTGTGGAAAGCTGAGACTCTCACGAACAAGTCGGATTTTGCTCTAGGACGCCCACAGGCCCCACAAGTCTCGTCTGAAGGTCCCCCGGTACCAGGTTATTTTTTTTTAATGAACAGAAGTATATATGGAGACTGTTTAGTACCAAAAAGAGGTTAAATACATGTTTTTTTTTTAAAAAATACATATGTTTCCTGATCTTTTTTTTATATCTCAGACATAGGACAGACACTTCAGAACAAACTTCCTTTTGATTATTTATTTTTTTGTTGGGGGGGGGGGGGGGGGACGACGACGACGACGACGACTATCTGTTCCATGTAGTGAATCTGTTATTTAATGAGTTTGTATGGGCTAATAGTAGTAAGCCCAAACAAAAATGTTAATCCAATAATTTGTTAATATTTTCTTTGGTACTTCAAGAGTTCTTAAAATTCAAAATCAAATAGCTAAATTATTGGTATGACCTTAAAGCAATTCCATATAGCTTGGTAGGCTTAGACAGGGCTTAGTCTGTAGAGAGTTAAACACTGTGTTTGAGCTACACACTTTTGGGTTGTACCATTGGATTCGTCCATTTCTTCTGCATCCGTAGATACCATTAGTCTGTGTGATTAACATTTACATTTTAGTCATTTAGCAGACGCTCTTATCCAGAGCGACTTACAGTTAGTGAGTGCATACATTATTTTTTGTATTTTTCATACTGGCCCCCCGTGGGAATCGAACCCACAACCCTGGCGTTGCAAACGGGGGCTGAGCTAGAGCAGTGTTTGTAAGACAATGACAGATCCCAAAGGGGCCCGGGTCTTTTTTTCCCAAAAATGTCTGTAAAGTCCAAATGGTTTGAGCTAAGAACTATTAAAAGCCATCTATGAAAAGCTGAGACTTTCACGAACATGCACAGGTTTTGCTCTATGACCCTAACAAGCTATACAAGAGTCGTTAGAAGGTAAGGGGTTCTTCTAGATAGATCATGGTCCCCTGTAGCTCAGGGTTGTGGGTTCATTTCCCACGTGGGGCCAGTATGAAAAATGTATGCACTCACTAACTGTAAGTCGCTCTGGATAAGAGCGTCTGCTAAATGACTAAAATGTGAAATGTAAATCATAGGAAATCCCAGGATATAGTGTATATAATACTGTGATAAGCTAACAGTTTCTATCACAAACGCCAAACCGTTGTCACTGACTAGTTGGATATTAATTTCCCAGTGAGCAAACAACTTCTGTACTTACAGCATTCATTTTTATCAGGTTTTTGCTTTGGTGGACTGTACTTTTCCAATTGACATTTGTCAATAAAACTCATGAAAGCAACTATTTATGTCAAATGGTGTGTTCTACTTGTAGCCCTGGTTGTCCTGAAAAGAAAATGGTAAAACACTTCATTGTGAGGCTAAATATAAGGGCTGGACATGCAGATAAATGAAAAGCCCATTTTTGCTGGGGTCTCGGGACTGATAGGGTTAAAAGGGTTTAACCAACCGATAATGACTTCAATTCTACTGAGTCAACATGGGAGATTCAGTCATTGAGGTAGTCCAAATATTAAGATTCAGCTATGTACCCCCTAAAAAATAAAGATTCCACTATGTACTTGTAAACATAATTATCACCATTATCATGAGAATGACTGGGGGAGAGTGATGGGCTTACCCGCTGAGGGATGGCAGGGGGGCGGAGTGGGAGGGCGTGGGGGCCGGGGAGGGAACATGGTGGACGGGGCCACTTTCACTGCTCATGGGCGGCGACTCTGGCTTTTGGGTACGAGAGGCCAATGACGTTGCTGAGAAAGAAGAGAGAGACGGACAGATAAGCAAGCATGCTGGACTCGTTTTTTTTGTCTTAAACATCAACTAAGAACACCTTTTCCTTCAAAAGGGGTTTCTGTTTTGTCAACCACAAATTCTCCTGGGTACTTACAGTCCTGTGGGCCCTGTGTCCTCATGCCACAATAGCCATTCTGTGAAAGAAGACATTGACACTCAGTGGGCCATCTGATTTCACTAACAATGATACGTCCTGTATCAGTGGTCACAAGCCTTTTGAAAGGGTGTTCTTGGGCATATAGCGCTCTTACAGTAAAGCTCTAGTCATCTTAAAATCACGCTTAGGGTCTTCAAAATGTCCATTGACAATAGGAGATTCAGTCATTGAGGTATTCCACATAAGAATCAGATATGTGCTTGTAACCATCATTATCTCCATATTTACAAGTGACAGGAGGAGTAGTCTTAAATCGAGTCAGAGACAGTGTGTGTTGACCACACCTGAAAAGTGAAGTGTGGGTGACTCACGGTGAGAGGGGAGGAGGGGGCGTCTTTGCTCTGGGAGTAGCCTAGGTGCGAGGGCATGCTCCGCGGAGGGCCACTGTCCACTCTGCTAGCCGAGGGGTTGGAGGAGGGTGGGGCGGCGCAGGGGAGACCCAGGGAGGGAGAGGGCGTGGCACAGGGCAAGCCCAGAGACGGGGAGGGGAAACTGGGGTCCGACACCAGAGGCATGGATGGCGAGCTGCCCAGGGGCTCACTGCAACAGAGGGAAGAGTTAGTGTGAGACAAGTTCACCTTGGCCTCTACGCCCATACAACAGTGAGACTAATTATGCCAAAAATAAAAACACACCTGACAGATCCAGGTTTTGAGAACAAGCTACTCTGGGGCTGAGGTACGGCTGTGGAGGCCGGCTCCCTGGCAGGCTCAGCCTGGTGGCCCATGTCAGTCACACTGGGCTCCGAGCCAAAGTCCAGAGCCCCAAACTGCACGTTGAGACCAGACACGTCTGCCGAGCCTGGCATCTCCACAGCCGACGAGGGGATCTGAAGAGAGAAAGCAAGAGATGGATAAAGAAAGAGGGTGAGGGAAATTTACGCACGAAATCACATCAATGTACATCTGCTATTCACAGTGTGATTAATGACCACACTTTCAGACCCAATGTGTAAGAGCATGCAAAGTTACTCACTACTTGTAGATGTTTACAATTAGAGAAACAAACACTCCTTTTATGTACCCTCTAAGTGAGCATGCAGCCTCTATTTCCACACACACACATTTCCTAACCTTGGAGGGAGGTGGTACTCTGCGTCTCTGGGTCTTGATCTGCCTCTGTTGGGGTTCAGCCATGGGGGCCTGGTGGTCGAGAGCCAGCTTGACACCGGGGGAAGGCCCATCTCTGGGAGGCGGGGGCCCGGCGTCGTAGTGGCCGTGGCCTGGGGGAGTGGGGACCGAGGGGGGAAGAGACAGAGGCTCTGCCTTGGGCAGAGAGCTCTGCTGGGCCTGCTGCTGCCGCTGGGCCAGTTGGCTGAGGACAGCGGACGGCTCCGGCTGCATCTTCAGATCCACTGGAGAAGACAGAGACCGACAGAGGGGTTAACGGTGGTATTGGGAGTACAGTAAATACATGTATGAAGAATATTGTGCCAGGATGGCTGTTGGTCCCAATTGACTCCCTTATCCTTCCCCTTCAATGTTTGCTCCACCACCACTACACTGCTTACACCTATCCAGACTCGTCAGATCTGCAAACATTGAATGGGTTAGGACCCAGGGGATGGGACTAAGGAGTGAATAAGGACCAGCTATGTGTGGCAGCATTTACAATAGAACACTGACTTAAGGTTCTTGGTGTACCCTGATGCTTCTCCCCCCCACTGGGTCACCATTAGATCTCAATAGACTATTTAGATTGGGGGGGGTAGAAAGAGATGTTGAACAGAGTGATAATGTGTTGGGGAAAGAATGCAATTTGAGGACGGAAGGAGATTCAGTCAGCGGTAGTCCACATGTTAAGTTTCAGCTATGTGCTTGTAACCATCATCTCCTCTTCGACAAGCCGATACAGACAAGCAATGACGTACCCACACTTGAAACTTGATTTCCGGGTGATAGTACCTGTGTGTGTCTTACATTGAGAGGTTGGAACTGGGCCATTCTCCACTCTTGGGGCCTTGAATTCGCTGGCGGAAATGGGGGAGGGGACTTCAACTGCAGGTGGACCGGATTCTTTGGCGACACAGCCATTGCCCGTGGTGACCAGCTGCTGATTGGGCCGCGGGGCGAGCCGGGGCCCGTTGAGCTGCTCTGGTATCCTGACCTCATCTTGGGCCGGCTTGGGCCCACTCAGAGCCCCAAAACCAGAGCCCAGGACTGAGGACTGACGTGGGGGCTGGGGGGGGGGGAGAGAGAGAGCGAGAGTTGATAATGTGTCTGTCTGAAAGCATGTACGGATGTCTAAATTCACTTGAGAGCATATTACTAGTGTGCATGTATAAGCATTTAAGAATATGAATGTGTGTAACCATGTTATGGGCATGCGTGTGGCTGGCTGCCTCACCAGGGCGGCGTGGGCGTAGCTGTTGGCGGCGGCGCTGGCGTAGCTGTGTGTGGCAGTGCGAGTGCCATTGTGATGGGAGTTGGTGAACACCAGGCTATGGCCTCCCAGGCCCTCGACAGCAGGGGGCTCCATGCCACCCAGCTCCGCTTCCACACCGCCCGCCTTGGGCAGCAGCAAGGCCAAGCCCACACTACAGAGGGGGGATAAGAAAGTCAACCAGCAGAGTTTACAATGGGGCACTGAATGCAGAGTTTAGTGTTGTACCCTGATACTGCTTCTTTTTCCCAGCATTTATATCTATCTCAATGAGAAGTTGAGCAGAGTGAGAATGTAATGGAAAAATAATGTAGTTACAGGACGGAAGGAGATTCAGAGATTGAGGTAGTCCACATATTAGGATTCAGCTATGTGCTTGTAACCATCATTATCTCCATCATTTGAAATGCCGGTACAGAGAAACACTCGCATACCAACCCCAGCCAATGTAATTAGTGCTATCAGAGAGAGCCAACAGAGGTACTCGAGTATGTAATGGGTGTAAAGTGTGCTTTACTGTGTGAGAATTAGATTGGAGCCCTTACTTGTGTCCAGGTGTGATGTGGTTTGCAGGAGCAGAGGCAGTGAACACTTTGGTTTCAGACAGCTGTTGATAAAAACAGAAACATCAGGAAGAGAACCTTTGTTGTATGTCCCCACTGGAATATAAAGTGAAAAGTGGCAATCACTCACATCCTCATTCCAGTCTTCTGCAGCCCAGTCTTCTAAGTTGCCTCTCCATGTTCCTCCTACGAGGGTAGGGGACAGTAGGGGTATATAAGGTAAACACGTCTTCATGCCTACTCTGGCCAACAGAGCTCAGTCAGCACAATAAAAGCTGGGTTGTGTTCATTAGGACACCTCCTAGAGAAAACGTATCACAACGGAAAACGAAAAAAGGAGTTTCTTATTGGACAAAACTAACCTAGTCCCTTCCAGTTTGTCCGTTTTCTTCCCGGCGGTGCCTAATGAACACAGCCCAAGTTGAGGCCAAACATCACAGCTCCAACTGTGGCCAGTGCTGCACCACCACTACTACTACACTTTAAAGCTCTAAAACATACAACTTGAAAAGGACTGGGCCTACATTTCCCACCTCAGGGAAACCCATTTGGCCATCTAAAATCAACTGGCATGCTTGAAAGGTCTAACCTGTTCCATCTCCACCGTCGCTCCCCTCCGTTTCCCAGGTTTCCTGGCGAGACGCGCCAGAGTTGGCATTGTAGTCAGCGGGGTTGAAGATTCTGAGGTGAAGAGAGGTTGTTTAGGGGTTCATCTATGTCTAATCATTATAGCCATTATTCTGCAATGCTACGATACAGTGAAACAGCCACCTACACACACACTAAAGACCTCCTGGATACTGGGCTGAACAGACATGAACAGAGGGAGAAAATGGGTGGCTCTCCTCATGTGTGGTTTTTCCCAACTCACCCCATCCCCTGAGAGGAGAACCGGTTCCCACCAGCTGCTCTTCCGCGACCCGCCAAACCTAAGGACACACACAGAAACACGTCTGACCTCTGCTGCAAGACACACAAACCTCTGTCTAATAATCACACGTGATGTTTGTGAGTTTTAAAAACAGACATACGTTTTCCGCACACACGTCTGATATCCATTGCTTCAAACACACAAGCATAGGTTAGAGGGGGGCATGTTAATATGGGTGAGTTACACGTGTAGACTGCTAGAGAATTTTGAACAGACTGACAGACTAACATTACTTGCTTATCAGAAATGAGTGTCTAGACTTCAGCTTGACAACGGTGACACCATTTGACAGGCTTTAGATCAGTATTCGAGGGCTGGCTTAGCCTAGACAGTTTAAGTTAAGACATATGACAAATACATTTAGAGACAGCAACTGCCATCACAGGCACTCCTGACCCCACCCTCACACTATGCACGTCTGTCTTTGACTGTCCCAACAAAAACAACCCCCCCTGGCTAGTCCCACCGCCCACCCGCTCCCTAGCAGCTGCAGGACAGTACATTCCACACGTTGTATGGCACTTGTGGTAATTGCTGGGTGACACAAATAGACACATTGCCAACTAAAACTCTACACCCACCCCACTAGATGCCGAAATGCCCACTTTACATTCCATTTTGGGTACACAAGGGCACGGTAGAGTATAAAGGATGGGTTTAGCACAACTCTGATCAGGGAGGGTTATTGTGGAGGCTATTGTAGCAAACAGCATAGTAAAGTGGAATGTTATTGTGGGGCACACGGGGCTCTAAATTGCGACTATTTTGGTAGCATATGCTCCAAAATATTTTGCTGTACAACCTGCACCAGTGTGCAGAGAAAAGTAAATCACCCAGAATAATTGTTATGACTAGGCTTCGCTGTACAGATAAAAAGTATCCTAGAGAAAGGTGCCGGTCATGGTTGCACCATTAACAATCAAAACAGATTGATTCTAGGCCAAACAGTTCAAAAGATTTGACCCAAATAACCAGTGCTACATTTCTTTCTTTCCATCACACATTGGCGGGCCACATTTATACATCCATGTCGCGGGCAGTTCTAAAACTAGGTCTACTCGCAAGCCGTTAATTATTTGTTTACACCTTGTTCAGTTATCTAGCTAACAACCCGGTAACTTTACCTAAACATTTAAGGGCACAGAAATAAAAGGGACAGCTTCTTCAGGAGATCAATGACCATAGCAACTAATGAATGAGACTGACTGATCTCTTGCATGTCGTCACAAACTTTTTTAAAGAGTGTGTACAATTTTCTATGTAATGCAAGGCTACAGACTGGTGAGGGCGCAAAAAAGGGTGACATTTTGCGCACGGAAACATGCTAGAACTGCGGCTATTTTCAGAATGAGGTCGTCACAAGCCCAACATTTTCACTAACAATGTGATACTAGGCCAAGTATCGCGATACAGACCACAAGTCATTAACGTTTCGAGGCTGACGTTTGGCAACTCGAACCTTCAGCTCCCTCCACAGACTTTCTATGGGATTAAGGTCTGGAGCCTGGCTAGGACACTCCAGGACCTTAATGTGCTTCTTCTTGAGCCACTCCGTTGTTGCTTTGGCCGTGTGTTTTGGGTCATTGTCATGCTGGAATACCCATCCACGACCCATTTTCAATGCCCTGGCTGAGGGAAGGAGGTTCTCACCCAAGATTTGACGGTACATGGCCCCGTCCATCGTCCCTTTGATGCGGTGAAGTTGTCCTGTCCCCTTAGCAGAAAAACACCCCCAAAGCATAATGTTTGCACCTACATGTTTGACGGTGGAGATGGTGTTCTTGGGGTCATAGGCAGCATTCCTCCTCCTCCAAACACGGCGAGTTGAGTTGATGCCAAAGAGCTCGATATTGGTCTCATCTTTCACTCAGTTCTCCTCTGAATCATTCAGATGTTCACTGGCAAACTTCAGACGGCCCTGTATATGTGCTTTCTCGAGCAGGGGGACCTTGCGGGCGCTGCAGGATTTCAGTCCTTCACGGCGTAGTGTGTTACCAATTGTTTTCTTGGTGACTATGGTCCCAACTGCCTTGAGATCATTGACAAGATCCTCCCGTGTAGTTCTCAGCTTGGCCATGGTGGAGAGTTTGGAATCTGATTGATTGATTGCTCCTGTGGACAGGTGTCTTTTATACAGGTAACAAACTGAGATTAGGAGCACTCCCTTTAAGAGTGTGCTCCTAATCTCAGCTCGTTACCTGTATAAAAGACACCTGGGAGCCAGAAATCTTTCTGATTGAGAGGGGGTCAAATACTTATTTCCCTCATTAAAATGCAAATCAATTTATAACATTTTTGACATGCGTTTTTCTGGATTTCTTTGTTGTTATTCTGTCTCTCACTGTTCAAATAAACCTACCATTAAAATGATAGACTGATCATTTCTTTGTCATTGGGCAAACATACAAAATCAGCAGGGGATCAAATACTTTTTCCCTCACTGTAGCTTACTTTTCAGATAACTTTACACAGCCTCCACACACCCATTCTCTCCCACACACACACAACTCCTAAAAGCTGGCCATCAAAAATAATTTAAGGAACACCAGAAAAATATTGATTTCAGATTTGGCTTAGAACTACATTTAGGCATATGCATCCTACCTTGGTGTGTCCAAACTTTTGACTGGTACTGTACATACACACACACACAACACTACCCGTCAAACCTACTCATTCAACGGTTTTTCTTTATTTTTGACTATTTTTTACATTGTAGAATAATAGTGAAGACATCAAAACTATGAAATAACACAAATGGAATCATGTAGTAACCAAAAAAGTGTTCACCAAAACGAAATATATTTTATATTAGAGATTCATCAAAGTAGCCACCCTTTGCCTTGATGACAGCTTTGCACACTCTTGGCATTCTCTCAACCAGCTTCATGAGGTAGTCACCTGGAATGCATTTCAATTAACCGGTGTGACTTCTTAAAAGTTAATTTGTGGAATTTATTTCCTTCTTAAAGCGTTTGAGCCAATCAGTTGTGTTGTGACAAGGTAGGGGGGGAATACAGAAGATGGCCTTTTACCAAATAGGGCTAAGTCCATATTATGGTAAGAATAGCTCAAATAAGCAAAGAGAAACGATAGTCCATCATTACTTTAAGACATGAAGGTCAGTCAATACGGAACATTTCAAGAACTTTGAACGTTTCTTCAAGTGCAGTCGCAAAAACCATCAAGCGCTATGATGAAACTGGCTCTCATGAGGACTGCCACAAGAACGGAAGACCTAGAGTTACCTCTGCTGCAGAGGATAAATTCATTAGAGTTACCAGCCTCAGAAATTGCAGCCCAAATAAATGCTTCACAGAGTTCAAGTAACAGACACATCTCAACATCAACTGTTCAGAGGAGACTGTGTGAATCAGGCCTTCATGTCAAATTGCTGCAAAGAAACCACTACTAAAGGACAGCAATGAGAAGATAACTAGCTTGGGCCCAAGAAACACGAGCAATGGAATTTTGTCCTTTGGTCTGGAGTCCAAATTTTAGATTTTTGGTTCCAACCGTCGTGTGAAGGAAAAGCAGCCAACAAGTGCTCAGCATGTGGGAACTCCTTCAAGACGGTTGGAAAAGCATTCCAGGTGAAGCTGGTTGAGAGAATGCCAAGAGTGTGCAAAGCTGTCATCAAGGCAAAGGGTGGCTATTTGAAGAATCTCAAATATAAAATATATTTTGATTTGTTTAACACTTATTTGGTTACTACATGATTCCATATGTGTTACTTCATAGTTTTGATGTATTCACTATTACTCTACAATGCAGAAAATAGTAAAAGAAAAACCCTTGAATGAGTAGGTGTTCTAAAACTTTTGACCGGTAGTGTATATATTTTAATTTCTGGTGCTCCTAAATTGTATGTTGTGCTCCTAACTTTAAAGTTGAGAGCACCAGCGATTTTTTATTTAAATTTTTTAGGGCCCTGGGGGCACAGTATGGAGTATGGAGGCTGCTCAGGGTGTGGCATGGTACAACAAAGCTTGGTGGGACGTGGTGGGGTATATTGATGGTAGTAACATAGTAGAAAGGGCAAACATACAACTGATTTCACGAGGTGCAGGCAGACGGTACAGAACACTTAGGAAAAAGAATGTTTGTCACACTGTAAAGCTCCCGATGCAATAGATGTATCAAATAACCAACATTTAATGAAATCAATTGCATCAAAGCTATAGAATGTGGTTCCATTATTTTCTTAGTACCAGTAACACTCACCTCTGCCAGCAACGCCCCTCCCCCTGCGACCACGGTCGGCCCCTCTATCTCCAGGACCCATTTCAAACACATTCTCCTCTGACCGCACTGAAAGATGAGGCAAAAAGAGAAACAACTACATACGTCAACACACTTGCAAACACACACAAAGAGGGGATTTAACACATACACTGAGTTTACAAAGCATTAGGAACACCTCTTTCCATGACAAACTGACTTGGTGAAAGCTATGATCCTTTACTGATGTTACCTGTTAAATCCACTTCAAAAATCAGTGTAGATGAAGGGGAAGAGAGCTTAAAGACTGATTTTTAAGCCTCAAGACATTTGAGACATGGATTGTGTATGTGTGCCATTCAGAGGTTGAATGGGCAAGACAAAATATTTAAGTGCCTTTGAACAGGGTATGGTAGTAGGTGCCAGGCGCACCGGTTTGAATGTGTCAAAAACTGCAACGCTGCTGGGTTTTTCAAGCTCAACAGTTTCCAGTGTGTATCAAGAATGGTCCACCATCTAAAGTACATCCAGCCAACTTGATAACTGTGGGAAGCATTGGAGTCAACATGGGCCAGCATCCCTGTGGAACGCTTTCAACACCTTGTAGAGCCCATGCCCTGACGAATTGAGGCTGTTCTGAGGGCAATAGGGTGTGCAACTCTTAGGAAGGTGTTCACATCTCTCCCCTCGGTGTCCCTAGGGCTGTGGCGGTCATGAAACTCTGTCAGCTATATGCTGACAGATGGCAAATGACTGCCGGTCTCAGTAATTGACCGTTAAAACAAACACATTAAGCATCTCCGGCTTCCACGCATAGGCTAAATCCATACACTATAGGCTACATCTACATACCATCACAATAAATCCATTATTTACTTTAGGCAGGCCTTAAGAAACATTATGAAGTATTTTCCCCCCCAGAAGAACAGAATTTCATATTCTGAGTCAGCCTGAGTTGCTGACCTTGCGTCTAGGGTGTGGTCTAGTTAATTTATAGCAGACAAGATATGCATTATTTTATATATGATTTTATAGTTATGACTATAAGTCAACATAAAGCTGAATAAAATAGAAAGGATATTTCTCAAAAGATTGCCAAGGGAGTGCGCACATTGAGCGGCTATTCTGTGTGGTGTAAAAAGTGTATTTGAAACAGGTCCTATACGCTTACTTTATAATTATTTTGCAACTTTAGTTGTGATAAAGCGTAGAATGTCTTAGAAATCTAAATATGGGCTGCATGATGCGACTCAATGGATGATTTGAAAAAAGTCGCAAAGGCTTTCGCTCGGTTTCTTGCCTAGACCGCACACGCAGTCATTAGTCTCATTCACATGTGATAATATTCTTCTCACCCATCAGACTATTCTCAATTTAATATTGTCTTTACATATTATACTAAATAATATGTGTGTGTGAAATTGGTTTCCATTTAGAATGGGCCATTATCAGGGCATGCCAATCGTATGCACCAACATGGTAATAGCATATAGCAGTGTAAGCAAGCATTGAGGACGACTGAAGACAAGGAAAATAACGCTATAGAGGATGATTTGCAGAAGGACTAAGAATTGGTTTGAAAAAAAGGGGGCCTCCTCTGTCGTTTGGAACTGGTTTGGCTTTAAGACATCCCACCTTGACCAACAAACAGTACTGTGGAAGTTGTGTCGACGCATTGTGCTAGCCAAAAGGTGGAAACACCAGCAATCTTTTCCACCACCTGAAAAACCCTGCGTGCGCGAATATGAAGAATCTACCAGAATGCATGCAACAACCCCCAGAGCAAGTCCCAAGACATCTTCAAGCCAGAGACGCACTCAGCTATCACTCGAATAATCATTTGTTAGTGGTACTCCCTATGACAAGAAGAGCAAGAAGTGGAATGAGATAACGAGCGCAATTACGTATCACATAGCGAAAGACATGGAACCAATTCAAACTGTGGAGACAGAATGTTTCAGAAAGTTGATTCGAACTCTAGACCCAAGATATGAGATCCCGAGCCGTAAATACTTCAGCAAAACATGTCTGCCAGAACTCTACACAGAATGTCGGGACAGAGATGCCAACGAAATCCGTAACGCTGCATTCTTCTCTACCACTGCCAACTTATGGTCAAGCCTGACCACAGAGCCATACATTAGCCTTACGGTTCATTACATTGACGACAACTGGAAGCTGCAAAGCAAATGCCTTCAGACCTCTCATTTCCCAGACGACCACACCAGAGAATAATTGCAGCTGGGCTGAGGGAGGCACTTTCATCCTGGGGCTTGAAAGAGTTGCGTCAAGTATGTATGACTACCGACAGCGGATCAAACATGGTCAAAGCACTGGAGCTGAACAAATGGACAAGACTAGGGTGTTTCAGACACAGGCTACACATAGCATTTGGTAAGTTTCAACGTCCAAAACACAGAGATAGGTAGAAAAATAGTGCAACTTAAAAACCACATAAAATGCAGAATAACTATTGTATTCCTTATCTCCTCTGTTTCAAGTTATAGCTGACTACACTGCCTGATCCTTCTTATTCGTTAAGCCGAATATATACAGCTCCGCAAATCTATAATATTTGTAAATGGGTGCAATATCCAAACATTATATGATCACATTGCTTTTATTTATAATTGATACATTAGCCTATGGTTTCAATATATGAATCTATCCTCTCTTTCAATAATAAATAGCCTACTCAATAAATTATCCTGTTTTCTAAAGCAACATAGCTCTCTTAAATCACAACAGTTGTATGTAAATCTATAGATGGATTACATTTGTAATCATGTCCAGTGTCCATGCTGTAAATTGTTGTAATTACAGCAGATGCAATGTTATTTCTATTGAATAATTGTGATTTATATGTAATTCCTTTTCACCTTTTTATTTTTCAGAGAGTAGTGTCCAAAACGAACCTCGGGTTTCCCGGACCACAGGAGTGTGCAAGAAAGTGGTCAGCACATTTTCCTATAGTTGGAAGAAGCAGAAGGCCCTGACAAGTGCACAGGATAAACTGAGCCTGCCCCTCCACAAGCTCATCACGGAATTCCCGACAAGGTGGGGATCTCGACTGCAGATAATGGAAAGAGTCCTGGAGCAGGAAAAGGCCATCACACAAGTCCTAGCAGCAGACACAAAAACATGGCACCTTGCACCCTCCTGGAAAGACACTGAGGTCTTTGAATCTATCACGGTAGCACTTAAGCCCCTCCAGGATTTCACAGATGCCCTGTCAGGAGAGACATATGTGAGTGTGTCCTATCTGAAGCCGGTCCTCCATTTGTTCAAGACGGAGGTTCTGAACTCAAATGAGGGCGAAGCCAAACTGACCGGAGAGATTAAGATGAGGGTCCTCAATTACCTGAATGACAAATACACCGACCCTGAAACAGATGCGCTGCTCACCATGGCTACCTTTCTGGAACCCAAGGTTCAAGACCACCTACATGACCACTGAGAAGCTGGTGGAGGTGAAGGTGAGAGCTGCCTCCGAGACAGAAGGCCTGGTAGGGAACACAGCCGTGGGAGACTTCTCTCTTGAAGAGGACCAGAGTGAGAAAGAAGCTGCTACTGCTCCACAATCAGCAAAGAAGTCCAAGAAGAGCCTTGGGAGCTTCTTTAAGAAAACCAGTAGTGCACCTGCCTTCAGAACCCAGAGACAGGTCATCGAGCAAGAGCTGGACAGCTACACTCTGATGATGGCAGCAGACAGTGAGGCTGATCCTTTGGAGTGGTGGAGAGTTCACGCATCTAACTTCTCACAAGTGAGTTGTCTGACAAAGAAATACTTATGCATCCCTGCCACAAGTTAAAAGCAATATTTTGTCAATTATTAACTTTGAACTGCTAATAATATATATATATATATTTTTATGTACAGTATATCATGATATTAAATCGCTATCGTCCGGACAGTGGAAAATATTGTGATATGAATTTTAGTTCATATTGTCCACCCCTAATTGCTACTTTAACATAGCAGATGGATTTTGGGTTCTAGAAATTTAATTGTTTGCATCATTTCTAATCCCCCTTATTTCACCCACAGCTGCCAATCCACCATCCATTCTTATCTTAACTCCAACCCTCCGATGTCCACAGTATAATACCATTTTGCTATTTCCTTTTGCAATACATCATTCCATTTTATTGTGACGTTTTACGAGGGCCTTGAACCTCCCCATTTGTAACATTTCTACCAATATTACCCTAAAAACAAATACTGTACCCAAGAGCATTATGATATTTCCCATTGATATTTCCTATTTCCCATTTCCAGGTCCATCTGAACCCTAAAATGACATGGCCACCGTTCACTCTTCGTCGTTGCTGAAATTTACCCACTATGCCATTTACTGTCTGCAACTAAGTTATATCGCCATGTGATTTTTTAACTAATAATTTTAAGCCATTTATAGTTTAATTGGTGGCAGACAGACATTATTTAAGTAATTGCCTCTTCCAATTGTGGCAGAACCAAAATATGTTGGTTATAATTTTGTATTGAGCATACACTTAATTGCTTGTGTGACAATGTTACCATCCTCTCTTCAACTATATTCCCGCAATTGCAATCTGAAATGTTGCAATCACATGCATTTCTCTCCCTCTCCTCTCGGAGCGCAGAGAGAGAGTGTGGTTTGGAGGATGGATGAGATTTCAGATAATAGCAGCAAGTCTATTAAAATAGAAAAATGTGGAACTTGAAATGGAATGTTATGGTTAATACACCTGCATTTTCAGAATGCACACTTATTTTCTGTGTGACAAATGCTGGATTCTGTGTTTTGGGCCTCTGCAGATTATTCAAATTAAATCAAGTGTTTGATGTGATTTTCGATTGAATTTGCATTGATGTCAGAGTGATTAGAGGAACTAGAGAGCGTGAAGTACCAGGCCATTAGCGAATTTACTGCTGTTAGCAAGTTGGTTAGGCTACTAACACCCATCAGCCCCATTCCTTTACAGAGCACAGCTTTGGAGTAGTTACCGTGACTCAACGGTCACGTGGAATTTTACCGCGTTCATGGCTCGTGACCGCTGGTGTGGCGGTACTATGGTCACCGTAACAGCCCTAGGAGTCCCGCTCTCACCCTCTCGGCTGCGGCTGGTTCCACGGCCCCTCCTGTTGGGGCCCCCGCGGCCCCGGCTTGCCTCGCGATCCCTCTTGTCTCGGTTGTCCTTCATCTCAGAGGGTCCTCCCTCCTTCCCGGGGCCTCGCGCCTTTTTTCCCAACCGTCTCCCAGGAGGTCTGAATGACAAAGAGATCTTATTGCAAACACGAATACACTTCACACTGAATAAGCAAACTTGAGAAATAGGTTGTAGATTTTGGTTATGAGAATCCGTTGAGTGCAAATTTGGGACTGACTAGTAAATGGGCTCCCTGCAATTGATATCCATTTCTGGAGTTAATGAAATAGCTTGTTTTACTTCATAGTTTGTAAACAATGTAATTGTAAACAAACACTGTATAGAAGGGCTCTCCAAGCCTGTTCCTGGAGAGCTATCCCCGTGTAGGTTTTCGATCCAACCTCAGTTGTAACTAGTGGATTCAACTTATCAACCAGCCAATTATTAGAATCAGGTACACTAGATTAGGGTTGAGGCAAAAACCTACAGGACAGTAGCTCTCCAGGAACAGGGTTGGATTGCTGTGCTGTATAGCCTGAAAACATGATTAGAACTATAATTTTGATCTCATGGATGGTCAGTACTAGCATCCATAACAGTCTATACATTTCAGAGTGATTACACTTCTCCAGCCCCATCACTCAGCCGTTTATCAAAACAGTAGCAGGGTGTTTGCTTTGTGGATGTTTGAACTGCAGATTGCCCCTTTAATGAGAGTTAGTGTCACTGGATGTGTATGCATGTCAGAGCGTGGATGCACGTGAGCCCCTGCGGTGAACCTCACTGTGTCAGAGGTGCTTTCCAGCAGGAAATTGATGGCTTTGTTGACATCCTCGTTGCAGTCATGGAGGGCCACCATACACTCATCTTGGGTCTTCCCAGTCACCTCAATCAGCTGTGGGAATACACACACACAATCAGCACTAGGCGGCAGGTAGTCTAGTGGTTAAGAGCATTGGACCAGTAACCGAAAGGTCGCTGGTTCAAATCCCTGAGCCAGCAATGTGGGAAAACCTGCCATTCTGCCCTTGAGCAAGGCAGTTAACCTCCAACAACAACTTCTCCCCGGGCGCAGAGGACGTCAATTAAGAGGGGTTGGGGCTAAATGCGGAAGACACATTTAGGTTGTGCAACTGACTAGGTATCCCCTTTTCCCAAGTAGACCATTTTTCTTAGCGTTTAAACTGCCATTTTTAAAAATGTATTATCATTTTCCCATTAAAACTAAGGAAAATGCATAAAATCCCACGTGAATTCACAATGCAGCTGTCGGCAACGGTTTGGGTCTCATGGTGAGTTCCTTTCAGATGATTAAGCATGGCACATGTACTACCATTACTGTACCCCAACTCCACCTCACAAAGTTTGCATTTCCTTCTCAAATTATTGACATACAGGACTTCACTGCTGTTGCTTGCCTTTCTCTGCCATTTTTCCAACTGTTAACAGCAATGACATTCTGGTTGAGACTCCCAGTGTAGACTCCATTTCTGAGTGTCAAGATTTGATTTTGTTCCTAAAATTCAGTATTTTTGGAACAGAGACCGATTAGTTGCCATACATCCAGTAACACAAACACTTGCATCTTTCATAGCAAACTAGTGAGGGGTGGAGTGAGAGGGGCACAGTATAGGCAGGTCGGCCACCAGGCAGGCAGTAAGAACCATGCACTAGGCCCATCTATCAATAGCTGTATCTTGGAATTTCTTGGCTTGCAATGTCTTGCAACTTCAGTAAAGCAGGGCCTATCAATGAATAGGCTAGGATATTCTACATGCAACAGACCGAAGACTCTTTAGCGAAAAGAAAGAGCATGGGGTGTAATCATGAGTCCAAACAGTTTGGAACTAAAACGAGAGTTTCTATTGGACACTATAAGTCAGGTAGGTCCCTCCACGTAATGAATACGCCCCCAGACGAGCCAGCGCGAGGGAGAAGGCAGAAATAGGTGCACCACGGTTCTGTCTTGGTAATCTGTATCTGGCAATGTCTTGCTTGCCTCGCAAATTCACCGAAGTAGCCTAAAGTTTGCCTCTTCCTCTGGTTTTACTTCAAATGAAACTTTCTCCAGGCCTTTATAGCCTATCGTGTACATAGACTATAACACAGAAAATAATATATTTTGTGATAACTGCACTGTGATTTTAATTTTGTGGAGAATTTATTTTCTTACGGTTAGGGATTTTTCTTAACGTTAAGGATCCCAATTTAATTTAAACGTTCACTGCCCTAATCAGCACGTGTGCACATAAAACAACTCAGTGGTACCGACACAAACACACTCACAAATACAAACAGACGTGTGTGGGGTGAGTGTGCATTGGTTCTGTACTTAAATCATATACACTGCTATACAAATGCCACATTTTTCACAACAACTTTCACACACTGTCCTCACCTGTTTGACCTTATCCTCAAAGTCTGCATCATTTTTGTCGTAGATCATCTGGGCAAGCCGAATCTGTTCTGCTGTGGCCTGCATTCAAAGACACACAGGGGACCTCCATTGTTTGTATGTGTGGTAAGACTAAAAGGTGATCGGCACATTTTAAATATGTACCGGTGATGGTAAGAATAACATGAGAAAAGCTAATGCGTCCCCTGGATTTGGTATAACAAAGGCTAGGTGGGACATTAAGTCAAGTTGGCCAAGACGTGGAGTATATTGATGGATAGCTCTCGAAAACCCTTCTCCATAGGTATGGTTTTCAGCGGTTACATTCACACACAGTTGGCTTCATGTGAACTACAATTCTGATGCTGTGTTTTAACATTTAGAAACATAAATAATCGTCGCTTTCAAAGCTGTTTTCGAAACATACGGTACTATGGCCCTTATTTCATATCCGCTCAAAATAATCTTTAAAATAAAAAACACACTTACTGTAGCAGTTTTGCACAGATCCACAAGCTGTGTGCCTCCAGTTGATGAACTACACTTCATCCCCGGTTACGCTTACACACAGGTGTGTGGAGGACGCTAGATAGCAAATTAGCACAGGTGGCCGCCTGTCTTTCGTAAACAAGCGATGTAACATGGAGATATGGCCGTGTGGGAACACTAACCCTATAAAAATGTGTGTAGAAATTTAACCGGTGAATTTTGAAAATAATTTCTCGCCGATATGAAAGATACATTCCTTATGTTTACAATACCGTACGCAATGTTTTAACATTCAGAACGTGCATTGGGGATCTTTAACAAAAAAAAGTACCCTACCAGAAGATACTATCGTCAATAGGCGCTAATGCAATTAGCATCTATGAATGGGTTAACTGATGAGTTGCACCAGTAACATAGTAGAAAAGGGGGAAAATATACAACTGATTTGATGAGCTGCAGGCATACAGAACACGTAGAAAAAATTATGTATCTGCACACTGCAGAGCACCCGATCATCAAATAAAACATCTATTGCATCAGAGCTATAGAACGCGGCTACATTTTCTTAGTACCAGTAACACTCACCTCTGCCAGCAACCAAAATTACACTGTACAGTGTTGCGACTCTGAAATGGTGTATGAAACTCACCTGTATCTGTTTTTGTGGCTGTGTGGTTTGTGTTGTGGTGGGCAGCGCTCTGTCTCGAGTTCCTCGAGCTGGATTGCTGACCACTGAAGTCATCATATACAGTATATACAAAACAATGTATGTACAAAATAGAAAAATCTGAAACAGATGGGGGGAACAGTCAGTCAAATGGACATCATAATCATTTCAACCTCAGACAGGACTGCTTGTACTGAGTCTTGCTTTTGTCTCAACTTTGCCTGTGCCATGTAAGACTATAACCCTGTCCATTGCCCTTCATGTTTAAATTTAGACATCCAGGCTGGGGGGGGCCTGTTCTGGTGTCAATTTACATCTCTCACGCACACAGTCAAAAACAGTCTCACAAACATAAATGTAATGGTCAAACAAGAACCACTCATACAATTGGCTAAGGTTAGAAAACCACAATACATTTTATTGAATTAAATAGCACCTATAAGTACTGGCAATTTGTAAGTGGCGAATATGGATTTGAAGGTTGTGCGTGTAGGTAGCGTTGAACGTTATAGCTAGGCATTCAAACCACAGAGCGCCTAGTCCAACTCATGCGCAGCCATTTGGGATTGCCTAAAAAACTTGCGACGTGCCAAGGGTTCATGACGTGCCCGTGAAGTTACTAAAAACAACGTTAGCTAAATTAGGCCTCGCTAATAACGGAACGGCAAGCGGCTAGATGGCCTAGCTAGCCAACTAATTGACACATTTAAGTGTAATTCAGATAATCTAATGATAGTGCGTAGCTGGTTTGCTAGCTCTCGTCTCGCTAACAAAGCAGCTGCCATTGTTTGTTATTGTGACAGCTGTGTTCTCTAATCGGGGTGGGTACACAAATGAACAAACCAGTTTCGGATTCGGTTAGCTACCAGTAGGCTATGGTAGTTAGCTTAGCTGAGCGTCCTTATCGAGAAGAAGAAAGCTAACAAATCTTACAGTAATATAGTTATCTATTTCCAGGAATCAGTGCATCCCAAAATGAGCTTGGTTGTGCGCTTGATTATTTCGATGATTCACATGTCAAGTCGATGACTAACGTTGACGTAGCTAGTTATAACGTTAACATGGACCAATAAATTATTCAAATGTCTAAAGTAAGCTTGAGCAAAGCACAAACTAATTGGCTGCCTCTAAACGTTAAATATCTAACTAGCTAAATGTTAACTAAATTACTGTAGCTAGCTAAATATTAATCCCATACCGTACGTTGGATAGCTAGTTAAGCATGCTACGGCAGATCACTTGGCTTGCGTTCACTGTCAGAGGCAAAAATAAACAATGTTGGACGGAGCTCTTTGTGTAAACGGCTAATATTAGCCAGTTAGCTAGTACCCCTAGCTAATGTTTTATAATAATGGTCGTTTTTTGATGAACAATCGCCCAGAAACGTTAGCTACTCCACACACGTCAACTAATAACATTATATGAACTAATAACATGTAACTAGTATAGCTACTACAAAGTGTACACAATACTACAATGTAACCCGCTAGAAAGAAGCGTGTGGACATGGCAAGGTAGCTAGTTACTTGACCCGTGAGTTATCTGGCTAGCATGCTAGTTAGCATACCCTTTTAGCATTTGAAAACGTTCGCACAATGCAATGTGCCATACGGCAGAGAGCTAGCTTCATCTGCATCTCGTCGCCACTTTAGCACTGAAGTGGCTAAGCTAACTGGCAACGTGAAATGATGGCTCGGTCTGTCTATTTTCGGAGTATCACTACAGTAAAGTGGATCAAACGTATACAACGACGGCCCGCACTGTATTTTTTTCGTTTATGTCCATAATTATCATAACAAACATTTTATTTCTTTACCTGCTAACACGCTTCACTCAGCCAGCAGCAGATGCCGTCACGTGACACACCGCGCCGTTGTTCCAGCCTGTACGTGCTCGCTCCCTCCCCCTCCGGACACGCTGTTCTTCTTCTTCAGTGGGGTTATCGGCAGTTGGCATCCAACGTTATGGTGCATTACCGCCACCTACTGTACTGGAGTGTTGGCCAGAGACAGGGAGAATCTAAATCCTACCTATCAGCCCCGTTGCTCTTAAAAAAGATACCAACATATTTGAGACTATATCTTATGACGTTCTTCTCAATATACTCTTTAAACAAATTTCCTGTATCCCCTTCTCCCTCATACTAGATATCATCCTCTCTCTTTCCCTCTGATACTGCCCACACCATAGCAATTCATGCTCCACGGTCTCTGTTTCCTGACAATAATCACACGTTCCTGTTGGATGCTTTCCTATCACATTTAATGTCTTATTCAACTGGCTGTGTCCCACCCTTAATCTTGTAAAAATAGCCTCCTCCCTTCTGTCCCTTCCTGTTGTCCTCGTTCCCCTCCACCCCCACATGGGCTGCTGCTGCTCTTCTTCATCTTCTTCTTCTTCTGTGGGTTTTATGGTGGCCTACAACCCCAAAAGGTGTATTGTCACCACCAACTGGACGGGTTGAAACCAAAACAAGGTAAAAAGAAAATCCATACGTGATTAGAAAACTAACTTAATCCACCCAAATAAAATAGTACATTGACAAAACAAAACTCCCACTTCTTCATCTCCCTTCTTTTTTAATTATTTAACTAGGCAAGTCAGTTAAGAACTAATTCTTATTTACAATGACGGCCAACACCAGACAACGCTGGACCAATTGTGCACTGCCCTATGGGACTCCCAATCACGTCCAGTTGTGATACAGCCTGGAATCGAACCAGGGGGTTTGTCTCAGTGATGTCTCAAGCACTGATATGCAGTGACTTAGACCGCTGCGCCACTCGGGAGCCCTAGGGCCTGAGAGGGTGGTACGGCTTGTGACAATATTCCATGTAAATCTTTCAGCCCCAGGAACCTCTCCGCCACTTCCACAATGATTTCTATCTTTATCACCATAGCTATAAAGGCCACAGAGTCCACCTTCTTAACCTTTAAAATGTCAGGATCCTGCTGGTGAAAGGCAACCCCTGCAGCCTGCAGTGAAGGCCTATTCACCAACATAGACTCTTCAAGTGCACCATTCAAACCCTCAACCCTTTTTGGGACGTGCTGTTGATTAGTCAGTGGTTGGTTGGCCTCAGTGGCATTTGATTAGGCTGGCTCTGGTTGGTATTATGCCACCTACAAGGTGATGATTATGATGGCTCAAGGGAATCACATCTTCTGTTCATCCTTATCTACCAAAATGACCAAAGAAATGATAGGTATTACAGTCTAAGATGTAGACATAGAGCGAAAAAAACAGAATGTGATTAAACTAAATTTATTTTGTGAGCTCAAACCCCAAATGTTAGTACAGAGTAATATTATTTCAACACCCCTATCTTCTCTGGACACAAGTGAAGCAGTACATTTTAGATGATAATTTTAGTCATTTAGCAGGTGACTTACAATCAATGCATTCAACTAAGGTAGACCACACATGCATATAACAATCATTGAAAAAACAATCTAAATAGCCGCTATATGCAAAATCAGAGGCTCGGATGGTCTTTACTGAGCGGCGGCGGCAAAAGAGAGGCAGGCAAGGCGGCATCCTGAAAGGAGACTAGGTCGACGAGCATTGCCCTCTGTCCTATTGGTGAAGTTATTATGTGACTTGTTAAGCACATTTTCACTCCTGAACTTATTTAGGCTTGCCATAACAAAGGGGTTGAATACTTATTGACTCAAGACATTTCAACTTTTCATTTTTCATTAATTTGTAAACATTTCAAAAAATATATATTTTTTAATTAAGGCTGTAACACAACAAAATGTGGAAAAAGTAAAGGGGTGTGAGTACTTTCTGAAGGCACTGTACATACCCAAACCAGATGCCATGGATTAAAGGCAAGGCATTATTACAGGACTAAGATTTAATCCTACTACGCAGACTCTGACATTCGACAGATATGGCAGGGCTTGCAAACTATCATGGATTACAAAGGGAAACCCAGCCGCGAGCTGCCCAGTGACACAAGCCTACCAGATGAGCTAAATGCCTTCTATGCTCGCTTCGAGTCTAGCAACACTGAACCATGCATGAGAGCACCAGCTGTTCCGGACGACTGTGTGATCTCGCTCTCCATAGCCGATGTGAGTAAGACCTTTAAACAGGTTAACATTCGCAAGGCCAGACGGAATACCAGGACATAATAATATGCCATTTAGCAGACGCTTTTATCCAAAGCGACTTACAGTCATGTGTGCATACATTTTTACGTATGGGTGGTCCCGGGGATCGAACCCACTACCCTGGCGTTACAAGCGCCATTCTCTACCAATTGAGCTACAGAGGACCACATGCACTGACCAGCTGACAAGTGTCTTCACTGACATTTTCAACCTATCCCTGACCCGGTCTATAATCCCAATTTCTTTCAAGCCGACCACCATAGTCCCCACGTGCCCAAGAACGCCAAGGTTACCTGCCTAAATTACTTGCCCCGTAGCATTCACATCTACAGCCATGAAATGCTTTGAAAGGCTGGTCATGGCTCACATCAACACCATCATCCCAGACACCCTGGACCCACTCCAATTCGCATACCGCCCGACAGATCCACAGATGACGCAATCTCTATTGCACTCCACACTGCCCTCACCCACCTGGACAAAAGGAATACCTTTGTAAGAATGGTGTTCATTGACTACAGCTCAGAATTCAACACCATAGTCCCCTCCAAGCTCATCACCAAGCTCAGGACCCTGGGACTGAACACCTCCCTCTGCAACTGGATCCTGGACTTTCTGACAGGCCATCCCCTGGCGGTGAGGGTAGGCAACAACACATCCGCCACGCTTACCATCAACACGGAGGCCCCTCAGGGGTGTGTGCTTAGTCCCCTCCTGTACTCCCTGTTCACCCACGACTGCATGGCCGCACACGATTCCAACACCATCATCAAGTTTGCTGACGACAAGACGGTGGTACTGATCACCGTCGACAATGAGACAGCCTTTAGGGAGGAGGTCAGAGACATGTCGTGTGGTGCCAGGACAATAGATCCTCAAAAAGTTCTAAAGCTGGCCCATTGAGAGCATCTTGACTAGCTGCATCACCTCTTGGTACGCCAAATGCAAGGCACCCAACCGCAAGGTGCTACAGGGGGTGGTGAGCAATGTTCCCTCTAAGCTGCGGGCACGCAGTAGCCCCAAGACTGCCACTCATCTCCCCCAGGACTGCTGGGCAGAAGAAATATCAGCCCACGGAGAGAAGCACGAGATTGAACTTCACTCAACTTTCTAGAGTTTTCCCTGTTAGTTAACACTATCAACGTTCCCCTTTACTGTGGCAATTGTGATCGAATCAACACAATATTAGCCACTTTCAATGCAACATACCGAAAAACAGAATGAATGGAAGGCACCAGGGACAAACAGGGACAGACTACCTGAACTTGTCCAATACAAAAAGCTTGTTTGTGCACTAATAATTGAGCCCCTGGTTGTTTCCTCCAGGTCCGGGGTGTTGCTGTAGGGCTATAGGGTGGGTAAGGTAGGGCTGTAGCTGAGCTCTCATGCTCTGAACGCACACAGCCTTTTGCTCCATGATCTCCTCCAGTTTCTGAACGTACTCCCTGAAGTCCTGAAGGATAGAGAGAGGGACCGGTGGGACAGACAGGGAAGGAAGATGGATCAACAAATGGTAGACAGTCATGGAGAGCACTACTTTCAAACAAGGTGTCCTATTCAGCAACAAAAATAGCAATTGCAATGAATCTAATGAATCCAATCCATGATTTATGAGCTAGTATATTGATATATCTCTATATGGAATACTTATATATATAAGGTGTTGAGTTCTCACCATGTCAGGCTGTTGGCACAGCAGTGTCCCCTCTCTACGACACAGAGACTCCATCTCCTCCAACTGCTCCCAATGGGCCTGGACAATACACCACCTGAGGGACACAGAAGGGAGAAATGGAGAGAAAGAAAGAAAGAAAGAAAGAAAGAGAGAAAGAGAGAGAGAGAGAGATAAGAGAGAGAGATAGAGTTGAGAGAGATCGAGGAATCATAGCGCGAATCGCGCTCACTCCCATGAAGAGCGCGAGCGCGCACATATATCGCTCGCGGGCGCTCTCCGCGCGCGGGCTCCTCATCTCTGACGCTCTCGCTCGCTGTGTGAGTCCCCCGCTCGCGCGCGCGTTCTCGCTCGCTCTCTCTCTCCGCGTCACGTTCGCTTGACTCCTCTGACGCTCTCGCTCTCAGCCTCTCGCGCACTCTCTAAGGAGATAGAGCCAGGATGAGTAAGGAACCATAAACCTACACATTGTTCATGCTACATAACAGAGAGACTTGAACTTACTGGGCATGCTCCAGGGCTTCCTGAGTAGAGAGGGAGAGGATGGCTGGGGGTCCAAAGTGCTTTAACAGACTGTCTGGACTGTATGAACTGCTTGAACCGCTGAGACGGCATGGAATGTGGAGATTAGGAGGACTGTTTGAACTGGGCGACTGAGATTGGTCCTGCAAAATGTTAAGTTGGACGGAGTTGTTCATTTGTTGGATAATTTGCACACTAGGCATGGAGGAGTTGGGTGTATCCTGAAAAGTGTGTTTAGTAGTGATGGGAGGCTTATGTGTATGTTGTGGTATATGGGTGGTAGGCAGAGGGTGCGATGTGTGTGTGTTGGGCTGGACTGGGCCTTGGGAACACTTGGTTGTGTGTGTATTGGATACAGTGAGGTTGTGTGGTGAGTGGAGGTGTGGAGAAGGGCCAGGGGGACAGGCAGAGTCTCTGGAGCCTAGGACCTCACTCTCTAACTGGGCTGTGGTTTTCAAGATTCCTCCTTGGTCTTGGACAGACACCAGGGAGACCACAGGGGCAGATGGTTTGGTCATAGCTGGTCAGAACAGACAGTATTAGAGCAACATCTTACTATTTCTTAACACGCAATCCCCTAAAAAAAACGTAATTCTCACATATTAACAATGTCAATGAGAAGATGGCAATTATTTACACAGATATTATGTAAACAATGCAGGAAAAAAAGCATTGCACAAGCTTGTGTATGTGAGTATGGAACTCACCCATTCTCCAGAGAGGAGCAGCGTCCATCTTGGATCTCCTCTGATCCATGTGGCCTTCAGGTGTCACTGTCTTAGGAAGGACACAACCAGTCTGCACTCGCAGAAACTGCTTTACAAGAAGAGAGAGTCCAACACCTTCCCTTTCGTCTTCTCCACTCTTCCCATCTATCCCTAGAGTGGGTACTAGAGACTGGCCACCCTCCACCACCCCTTTTCCCATTCCACTTTCCCTAGACAAGAGGGAGCGGGAGTAAATGCTGTGTGGTACCTGCTGGCAGAGGAAGGAGTCTGTTGCTGCCAGCCTGTCTACTTGAAGCAAGGAAAGTGAGAGGGGATCCATGGTGCAGCTGGATGAATCGCCCGAGGATTCACGGTGTGGTGGTGAAGAAGGGGGCATTTGAGCTACAACTCCAGAATTACTTTGTCTCTCAGGGGGAAGCCTTGTGGTGCCAACTGCTGCTCCCCTCCCCGTCTGCACAAAGGACAGAAGGGGGGTGGCAGGGTCTATCTGACGTAACAGCTCAGCACCTGGTAGCAATGTTCTCTCTCTGGGGCTCAGTGGTACTCCTTTCAGGCAGGGGCAAGGGGGGACATTTTGGAAGTGTAGGCACAGGCCACTGGAGCTCTGGTTGATGTGCTTGGACTCCAGGGACAGGTCGTTGAGCTTGGCCGGGGGTGGGGGTGGAGAGAGGGGCCTCTCGGCCAGAGCGTGGCGGCTGCGGTGGTGGTGTCGGTGAAGGCTGTCGTTGTCACTGTTGCTGTCTGCGGAGCCGAGGGTAAAGGCATTAACGTCAACCTCTCCTTCCTCCTCTGTGCTCCATTCAGACTCCAGCAGGATATCTTCTTCTCCTCTCTCCTCGTGTTCCCCTGCCCACCCCCTCCTCTCAGCTGCCTTGCGGAGGCTAGATGGTACCCGTTCCTCCTCCCCAAGACCCAACACAGCCCCTGTCCACCTGCCGCCCTCTTCTGACTCTACCACTCTACACTCTGGCCATGCCCATCTCCCTCTCCCCTCCTCCTCCTCGGGTGACCCCCATTCGTCCCCACTCCCTCTCTCCACTCCTCCTCCTCCTGTCCCTCTGTCGTCCACCCTGCTGATGGTAGACAGCACTGATCCAGCCCCGGGGACGAGACACTCGAGGATGTGCTCTCCACTACCATCATTATCTCCTTCATTATCATCATCATCAACATCATTATCATCATCATCATTGTGGCAGTGGCTCTGAGACATGTTGTTAGAGAAGTGACTCTGTCCCTGCCCCTTTGCCTCCACTGTGACCCCTGCAGGCCCTTCCCCCCGGAGTGGGAGGTGGTCTGCCCCGGCCACAGCAGTGGCCCTGTACCCAGCCAGCAGCTCCTCCAGACCACGGCAGACAGACGGCGAGCCAGACAGAGGCTGCTGGAGCCACTGCATCTGCTGCAGCTGCTGGTGGTATCTTCTCAAATGCCTCTCTCTTTCCTTCTCGCTCTCCCGCTCCTTTGGCGTCTCAGTTTCTCTCTCCCTTTGCCGTTCTGTACTAGTCCTCTTATCTCTCTCCCTGTCCTCTCCTAACTCTCTCTGTCCCTCAGCCGTCTTCTCTCTTTCCCACTCCCCCACAATTCGGTCCTGCTCTATCCATCTTCTGCCCTCTCCCTCTCCTTTACTCGTAGTAGTCCTCTGCCTCTCTGCTCCTCTGACGCAGGAAGCAGCAGCTGCCCTTTGACCTATAGCCATCTTACTTGTAGTGGATCCTCTTTCTCTGGGTGTTTCCCAAAGGGGTGTCCTCAACTCTCCCATTCGCTGTCTCGTCACCAGAGCCGCCCCATGGTCCTGTTCCGTGTTGGAATCATCTGTCTTCTCACGTTTCTTTCTTTGCCCTTTCTTTTCCACCTCCCTCTCTCTATCCCGCCTCCTATCCCTCTCTCCCACTCCCTCACTCCTCCTGCGCCGCCAAAGCCCCTGGCCCAGTGAGCCCCTCACAGGTGTGGTGTGCTCCAAACAGAGGTCTTCTCTCCCCCTTCCAAAGCCCTCCCCCGCTCCCCGGCCCTTTGGTGTGGAGCAGAGCAGGGCTTCCCCTGGGGCTAACCTCCTGGCAGGGGTGCCAGTCACGTCTCGGGCCTCTCTGTGACCCCCCAACTTCACTCTTTTTGGGGGACTTTTCCCCCTGCTGGCGCTACTACCACTGCTGCTGCTAGTCTGATCGTGTTTCAGGGATGGGGACTGGGAGACTGTGGGCCGTCTTCTACCCCCTCCCCCCCTCAGCTCCTTCACCCTGTAGAGGCCATAGGAGATGATACATCACTCACTGTCATATGGCTAATGTCACTGACCAATTAAACAATGTCGTCAAAACTGCTGAGTCTGAGTGTGTGTTCTTATAGGACCTACGTAATACACACTCACCGGTCAGTGTATCTCAGCGTATTGAGTGTGTGTTCGGTTGCTAGGTGACTGGGGGAAATGTTTGCAATCATACATGTCTTTGAATCACCAACAAAGGAGTCCTTCAAAACCTATACAGAGAACAAGGTAAACACAGTTTGAACAAAGTGGTACTGACACAAATTCTATAATTCCCTGTGAACAACACTGTTGAAGCACAAGCCTGGTGTGGAACCCGTGAACGTTTGCAATGTGTGTGTGATTCTTTACCTGCGTGAGCTTGCTCTGTCTGAATGGTGTGTGTGACTGCTCTTGGTCCAGAGAACGGATACATTCTTTCAGCTGAAACAAATAAGCTACACGTTAACAGCAATCACATTGAACAATAAAGTGTTGTATTGTATCCTATTGTGTGTGTTGCCCTCACTGCCAGTAGACTCTGGTTGATCTCTGCCCCCTCCATGCGGCTCAGTCTGTCTGGGTCTCTGGAGTCTGCTGCTCTCTCACTCCCAGCTAGATCCACAAATGACATCCTACACAACACAGTGTGGGATACATTGTGGTCCGATGACTTTTAATTTAATGTCACCTAAACTATGTTACAAAGCTACTGAATTGCAAACACACACCCACACACACAGAGTGGCAGTATAGCTAATCATACATAAAAGAACACATTAAACCTCAGGTATATTGCTGAATATGTGCTTTATTTTAGATTATAAAATGTCCTAATCTTGGAAAAGTCATCTAAAAAAAGTGTCTGAATTGCAATGTGCAAACTCCATATACCTGGTAGATAATTTGCTATATATCGCTCTCAAAAAACAAAAATACGGAATTATTTTTGCTACATGGAACTAATTTGTCGGATTTGTCCTATAACTTATTATAACATGACACTGACCTGCCAGTGGCCCGATGGCCAGAGTCTCTGAGCTGTATCTGGAGCAGAGCATGGGAGCGGGACGACACAGGGTTGACTCCACTCACCCCCTGGGTGCGCTCCCCTGTACCCCACAAAATCACCTGGAGGACGGAGAGAGGAGAAGGTGGGGAGGACGAATGAGGAGGGGTGGAGGCAAGAGAAGAGATGAAAGGAGGATGGAATGGAGAAGGGAAGTCAATCAAAACCGCAAGGCAGGGAGGTCAAATGGATAATAAAACAGATGAGAATAGGAAGAATGAGAAGAGAGGGATAAAAGTCTCGCCTCCAGCAATGAGTTGACAGACTCCACTTTGACCTCTCTCAGCCCTGCTATCTGAACCACCTGGTGCCCATCCTCCCTCGCAAACAACCTGCACAGAGAAGACACAGATGTCATTATAAAGGGACCCATCAGAGGTTTACTGGTTCAGTGGTTCACTGAGTTCATTGAGTGGTTCACTGAGTAGTTCACAGGTTCAGTGGTTCGCTGAGTGGTTCGCTGAGTGGTTCAGTGGTTCAACTGGTTCAGTGGTTCAATGTTATTATGAAGGGACCAATCAGAGAGTAAGGTTATGACCATGTCATTATGAAGGGACCAATCAGAGAGCAGGGTTATGTTCAGCGATGTAGTCAATTTACTAAACCTCGAGTCCGAGTCGAGTCCCAAGTCTCTGGTGTTCGAGTCAGAGTCAAAGTTAGAGTGTTACATTATGAAATATTTTCTGAAAACAAAGTCACTACTACTGGTCGAGTTAAGTCAATCCTGAACTTGAGTACTAAAAAACTGTGCACGCCCGCACACACACACACACCGTTTTCTATTGTCCAACAAGTCGTAGAGCTGGCCACAGTAGATCTCAAAGAAGCTGACATAGACATAGACGTGGGATGGGACTGGAGAGTTGCCACGGTCCTGGGTGGAGTGAAGCTGGGTGAAGATGTCCCTGGCAGCCAGCGCGTATAGCCCCTGTCTCTGAGGAGGACAACCCAGCATGGTGTGTGTCTTTCCTGCTCCCGTCTGGCCGTACGCAAAACAAGTGGCCTTGCCTCTACAGACAGAAATAGGTCACACAATATCACATTACAAATCAAATCAAATTTTATTTGTCACATGCTGCGTAAACAACAGGTGTAGACTAACAGTGAAATGCTTACTTACAGGCCCTTCCCAACAATGCAGAGAGAAAAAAATAGAGAAATAGTAGAAGAAATAGAAGAAATAGAAAAATAATAATACAAGGAATAAATACACAATGAGTAACGATAACCTGGCTATATACACGGGGTACCAGTACCGTGTCGATGTGCAGGGCTACGAGGTAATTGAGGTAGATATGTACATATAGGTCGAGATAGATAAGTGACTAGGCAACGGGATAGATAATAAACAGTAACAGCTGCGTATGTGATGAGTCAAAAGAGATTAGTGCAAAAAGGGTCAATGCAGATATTCCGGGTAGCTATTGGTTAACTATTTAAGTAACTATTAGCAGTCTTATAGCTTGAGGGTAGAAGCTGTTCAGGGTCATGTTGGTTCCAGACTTGGTCATCGGTACTACTTGCCGTGTGGTAGCAGAGAGAACAGTCTGTGACTTGGGTGGCTGAAGTCTTTGACGATTTTTAGGGCCTTCCTCTGACACATCCTGGTATAGAGGTCCTGGATGGCAGGGAGCTTGTCCCCAGTGATGTACTCAGGGTTCGTACAGACAGTAGCAAGTCATATTCAAGGACCATCAATTTGTAATAGTTCATATTGTGCTATTGTTTCTAGTCGCCACCAGATGGCAGTATATCACCACAACCTCATGAAATAAATGACTTATTTACTACATACATATGTGGTAAGTCAGTACTGATGATTTTATAATTTGGGTAGTATTGCGGCAGAGTTTTGGGACATGCCTACTGGTGAACACACATTTCCTATTCACATTACTACACAACTCCAGCTTAATGACTGGGTGGGCTGTGTGAGGGAAACGGCACGTGAACAGCCACCAGAACAGCAGGTGTACGAACAGCTGTGAATGAAAAGCTCTGGAGGTTGTTGCAGAGAAAAAGTCACATCGTGTAGAACTGGCGCCAGCGCAGGATGCCGCGTTGTGTCTTTCCCCCTTCATGTGGCTCTTCAGGGCCGATTCACCCAGGGCCGATTCACCCAGTCTGATGCATTTTTTGCACCTTAGATGTTGTGGGTTGGTTGGCTCCAGAAATGTAGTGGTAAAACAAGGTGGGTAAACTATACTGAACAAAAATATAAAACGCAACATTTAAAGTGTTGGTCCCATGTTTCATGAGCTGAAATAAAAGATCCCAGACATTTTCCATACGCACAAAAGGCAGGTTTGAATCTATATTTTCCCAGCAGTTTAGCTATCTATGTGATGTTTGGCGGCACCTAATCAGTCAGTTCTGTACCTGCCTGGCTGAGTGGCAGTGTGGGTGGAATGAGTGAGCTTGCCTGGCAACCACAGCACGAAACACGTGAGGAAATAAAACTTGGTAGTCTGCCTGGAAATTAATTTGCAAGAGAAATCCATTTTTATAATATTTTTCATAAACGTATTTGATCATTATCTGTTCTCCTCTCATAATTAATTCAAGTACTTTTCAAGTACCAACTTGAGAAAATGTCCGATTTTTAAGGTATTCCAGTACTTGAATTTCAGAGTGCCAAATTCAAGTACTTTAAGCACCTCAAGCACCTTGTGCGAACCCTGTGTCCTGGGCGTATGCACTACCCTCTGTAGCGCCTTGTGTTCGGATGCCAAGCAGTTGCCATACCAAGCGGTGATGCAGCCAGTCAAGATGCTCTCAACGGTGCAGCTGTAGAGCTTTTTGAGGATCTGAGGGCCCATGCCACATCTTTTCAGCCTCCTGAGGGGGAAGAGGCGTTGCCGTGCCCTCTTCACGACTGTGTTGGTGTGTGTGGACCATGATGGTTCTTTAGTGATGTGGACACTGAGGAACTTGGAGCTCTCGACCTGTTCGACCTGTTTGAGCGTAACTGTTTTAGGGTACATTCCACACGGGGGAATATGGCTAACATCGACTTTTCTTATTGGAGTCCCTCCCCGTATTCTTTTGTTTGGTGCCTAATGAACACAACACAAGGTTCCTTACCCATTGAGGACATGCTGTATCAGGGGAAAGGCTGTTTTCAGATACACATCCACATTGGAGCTCTCCTCCCCAAACACCTCATCATAATAAAACCTGTGCTGTGGAGGGGACCAGAGAAGAGCGCAGACACACACACACAGATCAACACTGTGTTACATGGATCAGGGGGCCTGAAGCCTTAACACTGGTTAAGACTGGATGATGTACACAGTACATCCAAACATACAGATGTAGGATCTTAATTTTGATCACTCTTTTGTTAATGCACAGCAGGAAATGCAAGCTTGTAGTGTATTTGCGTTTTTAAAAAGGTTTCTAAAGTTTGTAATTCCAACTTTGAAATTCAGACTTTACTTACCTAACAAACAATTTATCAACCCCTACAAAAATGTCCATTAACTATAATCCACATAATAATTCACATTTCCTGTTGCTGCAGGATTATTGGCTCAAATTATTGGCTCAAACTGGCTCAAATTAAGATCCTACATCTGTATGATATACAAACTTACATACTCTGTCTCCTTTATTGTACCTACATACTGTATATTCACTGTCTGTATACATTGTGTACTGTATAAATTGTTATATTCAAGTCTTGCTAGACTCTGTCCTCTGTGACTGTGTGTAATGTAGCCTCTGAGTGTACTGTACATTAGAGCTCTGCTACCCGAACCGAGCCCGACAAGCCCCGACATTATACATCAGGTTATGGCCATGTAGGGCCTGTTTTTTCATCAATAACTAGGGTACGGGCAGGGCTCGGGTATCACTAAATTGATCAATAACATTTTGAAGCTGAGCCATTTGCGCGTGCTCTGCTGCGCAGTACAGGCATATCTGACTAAGATCATAACATGGTGTCAGAAATGCTTCAACCTCGTCAAATATAAGACAGGAGAGATTATTTCACAGAAAATTATAATGTTAATTGAGTTTTGTCGGAGTTTAGAGTGATGAAAAGTAGCTAACAGCTAACTGCTGTCTCATGTCTCTTCATTGAGCAGAGTAGCCCAAGCGGAGCCGTTGCTATGGATACTCACAGACTCAGAGCGCCATGAGCAGAGCGCATGCAGAGTGAGCTGCGCGAAGGAAGTGAGTGACAAAGAGGAGCAGCTAATGAATTTACTAAAGGGGGAAGTTCTTTTTGATTTCGGGTTTCGGGCAGGGCCTTGAATTTGGAAGAAGCAATCGGGCCTGGGTAGGGTAGGGCCTGAGCGCCACGAGCATGGGTAGGGCTCGGGCTTAAAATTCACGCCTGTGCAGGGCTCTACTGTACCTGGTACCTACTTGTAGTATGTACTGGGTCAGGTCCACTGTCTCTTTGCTCTCGTGGACCACCACAGAGTCTCCATCCTGGGCTGTGACCACGTCTGCCTCCCCTCTCCTGTTCTCAGCATGGGTCAGGGGCCTCTTCCTCACACACACACTGATCCGCTGCTCACCTGCCTCCCTAAAACACACACACGCGCAAATTGCAGGGGGTCTATTGTCCAACAGTACAGTTAATAAGAGAGAGTTACCTTTTCCAAGTAACCAAGTGTGAGGGCCAGTTATTTGGAGAATGAAAAGAAATAGGAAAACAGATGAAAGGAGAGATAGCAGCAGACCAGAGACTAGTAGCCCATACATTAACTACAACAGCATTATACACAATTGAAACATAATACAACTTACTTTCTGTTTGACACTGGACAATTCAGGGGCAGACCATAGTTGTAGCCAAGAGTTCTCTTCGATGTGTACATGCATGTGGGCTCATCCGTCCTCCTAGATGTCCCATCCGCCTCCCGGCACACCTCAGGTCTTGCCCTGCTGCTGATGGTAATGGCCTCGTTGTAAACGCAGACGCTCTGACGATGGCTCACTTTGCTGTTGCTCCTGTGCATTGTGGTCCGTCTGACAGTCTGCTTGTGAGGACAGCTACGCCTCGGCGTACCACTGATCTGGGTTCTGTGTGTGGGTGACCCTCTGCTGATGTCAGAGCGTGGTTTGTGTTTAACCCCCGTGTTCGTGCTCGGGAAGGTGAGGACACCAGCCCCCCTATAACTGTCGTAGTCACTGAGCCATCCGCGTTTGGGTTCGCTAGACCTACCATCACCATCAAAATCTAGCTGCCTGCATGTGGGGACTTTGCTGCCTGAAGTCTTTGTTGTTATCACAACTCTATCATCATCGTGGCCCCCATGGTCCTCCTCTTCCTCCTCCTCCAGAGACTTGACCAGCTGTACCAGATGGAACAGCCGGGCACGGTCCCCCATGCTGTGGACCCCCAAGCTCGAGTAGTCCCCCATTGTGATCAAAGACAGGTGTCCCGCACGTCTCAGCCCCTTTGCGGTAAAACAAGGGTAGTGACGCTGCAGCCCGACCTCGCGCAGGCACTCGTACAGGCATGATGTCATCGCCTCAACTGGTTCCTTCTCACCTCTTGCATGTGCACGCAATCCCTGTGAGAGAATGAGTGGTGGTCATTCCATCGGGTTAATGTTAGAGCGCGCTGTCCCCAAGGCGGCACAACCAAATAGACCTTCAGTAGCCTCGTCTACAAATGTATAAACCGGTGGCACATTACAAGGCAACTCCCTTGCTTACACCTTGCCTTCCTCCGTGCTTTTTGTGGATGAATGACAGCCTACTCTTGTGGCTGGGTGAGCTGCACGCTTTGATGCAGAAACTTGACACTGCTAATGGACCCGGTGGCACTAGTCACGTCACACATTGCAGTCTAGCAAATATGATAAATATAGATGAGCCAACAGAACAACAGCTGTCATAGCTTTACAGTTATGTTGACAGCTGCAGTGCTCTGACAGTTGTGAAGGATAATGTCATGAAAACTCTGAACCAAATAAAGTCGGAATTCACTGGGATGTTGTTGAGGACCCAGGGAAGGAAAATGCTGTAAACATTTAAATAATCATTTTGTCATCATCTCTCACCTCACCTGGCTATATTATATAAGTTAACCTTCTTGCAAGTGTGCTGGCTGTAGTTTTTACAAAGCAAGGTGAGTTGCCAAGCAAATAGGTTAGTCCAAAAGTGCCCACATCACTCACCAATGTTCGAACTTCGAAGCCAGTCTCCTCTTCTGACGATTAACTGACCAAACGAGCTCCCTGTCTCGTGTATCAAAGCTAAGTAACTAACATACACATTACATTTTTAAACAGTGGAAATCTTCTTCCCACTGTTTCCGTACACAAAAAGCATCTCCATAACGACGGTTTGAGTTAGCGCATTTCTTCCCGCTGTAAACTCAGACCAATGAGCATACTGCTGCATGTGCATGGAGTTGAGAAAGGCAGGAAAGGGCAGAATTAGTTTGCATGGTACGCCGGCTGCTGGCGGATCGGAATCATTCCATTTGCGCTCGGCGCGCTGCACTCACATGGCCCCTCGCGTTTTGTCTGCTATTCATTAGCTGGTGTGCCAAAAGATATGTGAGAGTTAACTTGATTTTTTTTATAAGGAAAACTACGTTTCTTTAAAAAAGATCAAAAAGTTTAGCCCTTTTGCCGTGACATTGTGTATCGCAATGCCGTGACCCGGATTCGAACCGGGGTTGCTGCGGCCACAACGCAGAGTACTAACCACTATACGATCACGGCGAGCTACCAGGGCTTTGAAACTCATGGGAGAAATTAGGCAATTGACGGGAGAAATTAGGATTTGTATTGACATTGATAAACTAATTAAATGTTAGCGTTGTGTGTTTTTTTTTTACATTGAATTTAAGGAGTGAAATCATTTTCCAAGGATTTTACATTGGCGGTTTCCTAGATTTAATTTGAATGTGCTTGCTGAAGGCAAGACCACTCTAGATTTCTTACATACTTCTTATTAATGTGCTTGCTGAAAACAAGACCACTCTAGCACTATTCTGCTCGCTCTAGTGCTTTAACCCAACTGGGGCAATTCTAGGATTTTCTTTTCTTGGGTGGCAGAGGGACCAAGAACCAGTCATGGGAAAATGGGCTTAAACTACGACGCATTGTATTAAATAACTGCTTCAACTGTACATTTGTATCTGCCCTAATCAGGCACTTAACTTGCAGTGGTCAATTTGACCCCTCCATACCATGATGAATATGAGTGATAATTGGTAACGGTTATATTAGATCTGTGTGCGGTTCGTTCAGTCAATATCCGGCTTAAACAACTAACACAGATAATCATTTCGACTACATGAATGTCCAACTCGAAAATGTCCAACTTTCTAATTTATTGTAGTTATACAAGTGCCGCATTCAACCAGTTAGCAAGTCGAACATTTCCAAGTTTCCTAGTTCCGACTAGCATGTGAACGCGGCATTACTAAATTGAGTAGGCAACGCAGTACATTAGGTGGGGCCAATAATATAGGGTTCTGCGAGTGAAAACCCCGTTAACTAATTTTGACATTGCCTTTTTTTTTTTTTTACATTGAATTTAAGGACTTAAATCATTTTCCAAGGATTTTACATTGGCGGTTTCCTAGATTTAATTTGAATGTGCTTGCTGAAGGCAAGACCACTCTAGATTTCTTACATACTTCTTATTAATGTGCTTGCTGAAAACAAGACCACTCTAGCACTATTCTGCTCGCTCTTGTGCTTTAACCCAGCTGGGGCAATTCTAGGATTTTATTTTCTTGGGTGGCAGAAGGACCAAGAACCAGTCATGGGAAAATGGGCGTAAACTATGACGCATTGTATTAAATAACTGCTTCAACTGTACATTTGTATCTGCCCTAATCAGGCACTTAACTTGCAGTGGTCAATTTGACCCCCCCAATACCATGATGAATATGAGTGATAATTGGTAACGATTATATTAGATCTGTGTGCGGTTCGTTCAGTCAGTATCCGGCTTAAACAACTAAGACAGATAATCATTTCGACTACATGAATTCATATTTCTTATGTCAACCACAAAATTGAATTAATGAACAGAGACGTGTGGGCGTTTAGAGGAGGGGCTGCAACAGGATATGTGCTCTAGCTGGTTGACGGAAGATGGCGGAAGCGGATGATGAAGTGGAATCTGAATACAATGGCGGTAGAATCAAGGAGAATTGGAGTATTGTTCAAAATAATGGAAAACAGTGCAAAGTAGGGTACAGTGATGAGAGTGACCCTTCGTATCTAGTAGGAGTACGGTTTGTAAATAAGGAGCAGCTGAGCAGAGTACCAATCTTGAAGAAACCATTTGAGTTGTCCAAACTGGTGGAGAGAGAGCTGGGTAAAGTAAAGGATGTGAGGATCACGAGAGGCGGGCTTGTTTGGATTTTTTGTGATTCTGCTGATCAGAAGGAATGTGTGTTGTGTCTTATTCGATTTGATACGTTTGAAGTGTTGTGTGTGTGTTGCTTCGGAACAGGGCACCCCTGTTTCATGGGAAGTTTATTTTATTTGCTACGGGGTGATAGACATTTATTTCAGTTACCTTCACTTTCTTAGGTACAGGGACAATGGTGGACATCTTGAAGCAAGTGGGGACAGCACTTCTTGAAGCAAGCAGGCACAACACGTCTTCCATTCCCTGCCTTACATGGTATGGCTTTGTATATACTAGAGCCCTCAAACTACACTCTGGACCTCAAAGCCAGTTCCACTGCGTTTTTTCATTGTTCCCCTCTAATCAGGGACTGATTTAGACCTGGGACTCCGGGTGGGTGCAATTAATTATCAGGTAGAACAGCAAACCAGCAGGCTCCAGACCTTGTAGGGTAGGAGTTGAATACCCCTGTCCTAGAGTATAATGGCATATTTCTCTCTGTTTTTCTAGAGAGGGATAGTGACAGTGTGTAATGTGCGATTAACTAAATTGACTTTGTATTTGACTCTGTGTGTAGAATCTTCATTCTCCATAGAGACGCTGGATGCAGAATTACAGTCCCTTACACTCCCTCACATCCTACACATGTTCAGTAGAAAAGAACATCCATAGACATGGAGCTGCTGCAGCAGCTAGACCACTTCCTACAGGTAACACGCACACACAGGAATGGATGAGCACACACAGACACGGTCATCATTTCCCACATAGAAAGGCTTCAAGTCTGCACCGAGAATGTTATGAGATTTATTTGTGTGTGTGTGGGTAAAGGGGAAGAGTGAGTGTTTCCCGATGTGCTCTGTTAGTGGATGCATCTGAACGCTCTAACCTGTGTGTGTGTAGGAAGTGAGAAGGCAGACTGTATTGTACCCTCTGTCCTCTCTGAAGGGGTTAGTGTGCGAGGGCTCTAACCTGCTGCTTCTGATGCTGCTCCCTCTGAGGAAGAACGTCCCGAAAAAACAACCTTCCTCTCCTTTCACCAGGACACACATCTCAACCTCGACGTGTGTGTGTGTCAGTTGTTTTAGTCTGCCCTACTCATATACGTGTGTTTTTTTGTGAGAGAAGTGTGTTCACTGTTCTATGAAGTTGATGTGTGTTCTCAGTTGTGTTTGATTTAACCTCGTTCCCAGACACTTCCACCCAAATGCGCAAAGGTGGGCCAACACGTCAAACTGTGGTCAGAGGGAGTAGACAGCAGATGGTAGGGGTGGAGGTGTTTGGGGTGGAGAGGACGGTGGACTCAGTGGAGGACATCCCAGCCACTTGGCAGTGTTGGCACCTCTACTTCCTACCTGACGGGTCAGTGGACATCACTTGTACTTATACATTCAATCAATCAAGTAAAATGATATATGGCCTTATATTTATTTTTATTTTTACATCAGCAGTCGTCACAAAGTGCTTTTAAAGTAACCTGGCCTACACCAGGAGAACCCGGGACATACAGGGCACCACTGCTCCTGCCATCTTAAATACTGTCACTGTGTAGGCTGATACCCCATTTAATGGACCCAAGAGCCATGGGTAAGGCTGTTCATTGCAATATGAATGTCAATACACACAATAGGCTGTATAGTGAGGTGATTTCCTACAGAGTACCCTAATATGATGAGCTACAATGCTAATATTTGCGCAAACTCTTCAGAATCGTATTCTTTGGGTGTCACCGAGTAGGCTCATACCCCAATTCATGGATCCGAGATCCATATACAGGAGGTAAGACTGTACAGTGCAAATAAGTATAACCCCCAATGCAATTCTAATACATCATCTAATATATCATAAGTGCGATTTCAACAGATGTTTTATTATTGTCTTTTGTTGCATTTATATAACAACATTCCGACCTTGTTTAGCATTATCTAGTCCAAATATGGCCCGATTCCACTATTTGTATCCGTTCGAATCACTTTCAATGGGGGAATTTTATTTTGAAGGCGAATCGCAAATTACACTATTGTGGCTTATCCTTGTGGCTAGCTTCAGAGGGGTGAGAGGCTGTTGGGTGAGGAAGAGTCTGTGGATGGTGGTTGGAAGAGCGTGCTTGTTTGAAATGGAAAAGCTTTTCAGTAGCTACTGACAA